TATGTACCTGTCACCAGCCTTCAGCAACATGTCCAAGCATATTTCTTGGACCTTGACAGGGTACAGTGAACATGGTGAAACAAGAAATACGTAAAAGATTTTCATCATACAACCTCTTCTCAAAGGTACAAACCATACCGCACAGATGAATCATATTACTACTGATGTTTCAGAATTATGTTGTAAGGTACAATTATGGCTTGATGAATAACAAAAACTGACCAATGTACATACTAAACCTGGAGTCAGCTCAATGGCTGCTGTAACTCAATAAGCAGTTTGGCGCTTACACAGTGAAGGGTGCTGTGAGATAGAAGCCATAACTGTCAGAAGAGGCATGATGTCGAACGTGAACCACTAGTCCAGGTGTTCCAGCCCGCAGTCGAGACAATAACCACATCAGGGTGAAATCCTGTGCTCCAGAAGGAAACATCAAAACCACATCACATTCCTGCAACACAGAGCATATCATCACCTCCAGGCACCCCCTTGGATGTGTGAGCTCATGGCAAGGATGCAGCTTATGGTACAGCACCCCACAGCCCCTCAATACTGCAAGATGCTTAAACCCGTCACATGCGGGGAGGAAGAAAATTACCTGGGTTCTACCACTGCACTGTGGCATTGCAGCATTGAGCCAAGGAAACATCTCAAAACCCGACCAGTAAGAGATACTTGTGTGGGGACAGTTCCCACCCTGGAATGAAGGATTGTGCAGGATCCATGTCATAATCTACAATTTAACCCAGACTGCAATGCCTGTGCTAACACATCATAACCAGGAAGCAGACTACAGCATGTTTCACTGAGGAAGCATTTGTGATAGTCCTTCAACTTCAGGGTTACCAATCCTTGATGGTTAAGTTGTGTTTTGTTACAAAGCTTATATAAAAGTTGTGATAATTTTCTGTACTTAACAAAATACTACAAATCACAAAAAAAAAAAAACAGATGGTCAGATAAATGGATGGATAAGCAGATAAACAAAGAAAGAGACAGACAGGCAGATACATTCAATGGATGCAGGGGTTCAGGATACTGAACAACATGAGGTCTGAGGTTCTCATGACAGTTAACAAGATTACAGCTTTTTCTAATGTGATATCTGGCAAATGGGTTCTTCCAAAACACTGCACCTATGTACCAGACTACACAGCATCACATCTCAGGGAACTGTAAACTGAAAGTACAACACAGCAGACCTCAATACACTACACACAAGCTCTATACCAAAATAATTACTTGCCTATGTATATACAGGAAGGTTGGGCACAGCAAAATACCACAGATGTTAGTGGTAATTAATTAATATTTCCTACATTAACTGTACAAAAATAGCCATGCAAGGCTCTTGCTGGCTGAAGAAACCCCAATGTTCTATACACAACATATTGTTATTAGCAGTGTTGACATCTTCATGGTGCACAGGCATCTTTACCTTCGATTTTTATAATCTGTTATCTTTTCATTCTTTCGAACAATAAGTCCTATAAAGCACAATTGACATATCCTAATTACTGAGAAAAAGAATTTCTTCTTTAAATTTCTGACACTATCCCATAGCAATGGTTTCATAACACTGGCACAAAAGGCAACACCTGTTTCTGTGCCTCCTGACTATTTTAATAAAATAACTGAAACAAGGTTACAGCATGAATAATCACAATACATTCTAGTGTCCAAATCTGACATTATAAGCTAAAACATCTGCTCTGACTGGACGAGTTATCGGGTTTCTAAGACATGTAACAACATTCCCACCTGTCCCAGAAAAGTCAAGACCTCTGTTAACACCAACCTAAAACACTAAATGTCTATACCTGATGTCAACTTTGTCACTAAATTAAGCATACTGAGCCCATGGATGGTGACAAGGGCAATACATGAGACATTATCTTCTCTGCCTGCCTTTGTATTCTTTTCTTACCCTTTCTGGCCTATGGAAACCAGCCCAAATGCTTTTAACTAGCAAAGGTTATCACTACCAACACTTCTGTAAACAAAATGGCTAGATGAGGAATGGAAGGACGTGCGCTACAAGAGATGTATAATAACTCAAGGTTCATGTACAGGGCACTGATCCATGTGACTTTCTCCATGTAAGTTCTTGTTTGTAAAATGTGTAAATTTTTTCCCATTTCTCATGTCTGTAACTTACTGTTCACCCTCCATCTTTGAAGGTTAAATAAACCTGTCACCAATTCAATATTACATGCAGGCTCTCAAACAATATCAATAGTTACATTGGTACAGCTAACACAATTCTTACCTGTGTTGGCACAGTCTGTATCCACAACCGTCGAGGTGTCATTAGGTGCCCAGCACATGGTATTTTTCGTCGTAACAAACGGGAAGCTGAAACATAAAAGTCTTCATAATGCAAATTTCAGTTTTTTAATGCTCCAGAATTCAAAGGACACTTCCGGTTGAAGAGCCATGTACTCTCCTGAAAATCAACTGACGTTTCGTTGGAACATTTTGCCTCCATCTTCAGGGTCAAATAAGCTCAGCAAGAAACCAGCATAAAGCAGGTAGCAAGCAGAACTACCTGCTTTTATGCTTGGCTTATTCTTTGAACCTGAAGATGGAGAAGACACGTTCCTCCAAAACGTCCGCAGATTTTCAACGAACTACACGGCGTCACATTCCAGAAGCCAGAAATCTTCATAAAACCGCTGTCTGAACCTCAAATCCTACAAAATCTAAAACTTCCAGCTGACTCACCATTTTCAAAAGACTCTTTAGCAGTCGAAAGGAGCTTACGATATCGTATTTTTGCGTCTTCTTCTGCATCTTTATCTGCAATCTTTTCGTTCTGTTCGTCTTCAACAGATTCCATGATACACCCCTCGAACGAAATCCCTCACCATTCAATACTAATATTTAACCGAGTCTCCTAACACGTACACAGCATATAATGACATGTATCCTATTTGCTGCCTTCATAGACATTTACGCATATTCATAGGCCTACGTTTTATATAAAAAAAGGCGTTGAAACGCTGGCAGGATTCCTTTAAACCATATCACTTCACATCCCGAGCAAACTAGACATCAATTCTGTGACGACGCCTGCGTCGCGACGGCAGCATTATGCGCTCACTTTGGTATGCTAACATTGCTACATTCTAAGCCCAAATATTGTAGCGGTGGCTAGCTGCACTTGTGAACGCTGCCAAAAACGTCACGTTGCTATGGTTACATGTAACGGCTTCAAAATGGTGTTAGTGAACATATTAGTATGTTTGGCGTCGGTTCATGTTGTTTCATGGACATATGGTTTTTCTGGAGAAATTTTGTTATATTCGGATCCGACGAACTGTGCGGATAAGGAATATTTTGACGCACATTTACTTAAATGTGTTGTCTGTAACGAATTAGAAAACCTGGAACCAACCACAGATAGTGAGTTATTAATTACAATTAAATTCTTCTCGCACACAGTCATAATGTTAATGTACACAGAGTGGAGTTTATGTTTCAGAGCTGTCATGTACATGTAACATGCAGAGTAAGGTTACACAGCTGACTGGGGGAGATTTCCCAGTCTGTGAATTGTGCCCAGACAATGAAGTGCCAACGTCTGATAAACTCAACTGCCTGCCATGTTTAACTAAGACTCTTGAAGGGAATGACACTGTGGTTTGTACAACATGTGGACCGCAGGAGATACAAGGTAAAATTAACCATCTATTGTACTGAATGACCTGAGCACAGTGACAAACCTATTAATGTTTATTTGTATTTATTTCAGTTGAGAGACACTACAATGGAACATTGCGTGATGCGCTCAGTTGTTTGACCTGCACGGTGGGGACAGTTCCTTCATCTGATCAGACGATTTGTGTACCCTGTTTGTTAACATCTCATAATTGTTCCTGTCCTGCCTTCACTCATGAACTGTTAGACGGGATTTGTGTTCCACTCAGTGGCCTTGCCAACTGGTCAGATGACAGAAATAGTTACATTATAGAATTTGAATCTGGTGACAAGATTGATTCATATTTCCTCAGGAAATACTTAAAGTCTTCAGTACAGTTATGTGAGGTAGGTGTGAGTTTGAAGTTCAGTCAGCTATACTGGTTATTTAAAAATATCAGTGTATTAAGAATATTGTATGAAGACTGAGAAGCAGTTCTAGGTAGAAATTGTCATTGTTAATGAGGGCCATTATAAACCCATGCCTGGAGAAATAAATGAGAGAGACAGTGGAGAATGTGGAAGGTGTCAGGATATACTTTACAACATTATAAGGGGACAGAGATATTTTCATATTTTAAGGTTACAGGCATTGCCCTCTTATCATGGTGGAGGATCATATAAGAGAGCTTTAGCAAATGATGAATTTAAAGGATTAGGGAGTGAACTTTATGATGAGCAGAGGATTGAATTGAGAAGGGGCTTTATTGTATATGATCAGAATTTGGATATAGTAGGCTGTTTCCCTCACAGTAGTGGCAAGGGTGTGAAACTGACCACTCATGTCCATTAGTGCTGCAATTAAGAATGATGGAGATATACCTCCATTCCCCCATACATCTTCATGGCTCTATACTTAATTAAGGTCAGTAATATCTATATCTTTTTATATAGAGAGGCTAGCAGGAATTGCAAACAACTCATGCATTTGCATAATATTCAGTAGTTGTCAGATATATTTTCACACTGTCATCATGTTTGCAATTAGTAACATAGAAAAAGAAATAGAATCTTCTTGATTGACTAGGCACATCAGTGTGGAGACTTTCTCTGCCTCTCCATCATTAGGTAGTGATGAATCATTGTTTTTTTTTTAGTGCGGCTTATCTCCCAAGAATATTTTATCACTGTACATAAAGAAAATTTCATACAGAAGTTGTAGATGTGTTTATGACCTATCTCCATATCAAACTGCATGCCCACTGTTTGTTTATTTATAACCATGAAACATAAAGCTATACATTTTGTTTGGTGTAGACTTTGCAATCTAAAAAAGTGTGATTTTGCATATAAATGTCTCTGAGCACTGTGTTTTCAGGTGTATGTAATTTATATTTTTATCTCAGAGCAGACACATTTCACATTCAGAATTATTTTCATAAATATTTTAGTCTCTGGCAGCCTGGAAATTAAAATGTTACCCTCTAATATATGTATTAACTGAAATGTATGGAAGTAGAACTTGAACATATAAAAGAAATGAAAATCTGCAGGTTGCAGCAAAAGTAATAAAACAAAGACATATGGTGTAAGTTTTTACTCTGATTGAACAACCTCTAGATAGAATTATAGATTTCACTTGTAACAGATTTAGGATGAAAGCACTGGGTCATATGTTGGAGGGCAATGATAAACAAACTGTTTCTTTCAGACAGGGAACCGGACTGCATGCCAACTGGTGGCCAACATGTGCACCCTAGTAATGTTCCGTGATGACTATGCTGGAAGCCCCTGTAAACTGTTTCAAGAGTCCAAACACATCCCAACCTCTGATAGCAGTATACTACCATGGCTGTACTATGAGGAGGGTGATGCACAAACTGTGCTGTCCAGGAAGAAGATTACAACCAAGTACAGCATGGATCCCAGCTCTAAGGTAAGTCTTGACACAAATCTTACCGAAGACAAGCAGCAGGACATCTTCTTTGGCCAGGAGACAATTGTTTTCGCTTTTTGTTGTCACTACCACAGGATCTAGTAGCTAAAATCTTGTAGAAGGAATAAGATTCAAACTGAGAAACTAAAACTTACTCATGTAGTCAGGAAAAAAGAAAACCTTTGGAATGAGGATTTAATTTAATTTAATTTAATTTATTGATACTTCAGGTAATCCATACAGGTGATAACAAGTCACCACAGATATAGTAGTAGTCCATTATTGAAAATGAGTGCAATAGTAGCAGTTATAACACACAACCTTGTCAATAAATAACACTATGTAATCAAGGACACTATTTGTATCAATCACAACAATATTTCATATAATACACTAAAACATACTAAAACAAAAGTAATATACAGAGGAATAACACAGCTGTAAATAGGTAATATAAAAAACAGTTACACTATGTATGATCAATACTTATTCTGACCATTCATGGTATTGCTTTACTGAATAAGAAGATTCCTTTAAGAAAAAGTTTTTAGGATTTGAATTACATCCAAAAACTCTACACAATACTAGCACACAACCGTGGCTACCATACAAGCTAGCAGAAGCACAAAGTAAATTTCTCTGTCAGGTCTGTGGTATGAAAGAAGAAACAGAAATAAAGCCAGCAGCAAAGTTACAAATTGATATAAGGACATGTTTGTAAAGAAAGCGATGGAAGGGAAATTGAGCAGTTACATATACATTTACATCATAATGAAGAGAATGAAATAATGGACAACTTCATGATCTGTCATAAGATGTGAGGTGCTCATGAGGGTGGGTGTGCTCTTCTGAGTTATAACATTGTGTTTTACTTTCGTATGTGGGTTTCAGAAAAAACATACTGCCTCCATCTTCAGGGCAGATGTGCCGATGACTGTAGATTGAGGCATTGTGTTATTCTGAAACATTGGTACCAACCTACTAGACTACAACACAGTGTTATAACCAAGAAAACCAGAGTCAAAATTCATGATGTATTGCTAGCACCATTAGATCAAAAGTCATTGAGGGAAACATGAACCATGTACTCGTACTAAGTTTCTTAAATAAACTTGATGTAAGAGTACAATTATAAACTAGATCAATTGTTGCACCCAGGCCAACAGGCTGAACCTGACAGTCATACGTTTCACACCAGAAGGCCGCATGAAGGGGATTTCTGCTGCTAGTGGCAGTTTCCTGCAGCTATGTCCTGGCTCATGGACATCCCTGGACAAGGGACTGCGTTTTGGTGCCTGGTACCGGCGCTCCTGTACAGTGCCTGCCCATCAGCTGGTCCAGATGAGGGATACTGAGTTTCTAGATCTGTATCTTGAGTACTGGGAAGGAGGGCAATCATTGCTGTATGCCATCCCTGTTCTGGTACTGGACCTCAAACTGAGGGGAAAGTCACCAAATAAGGTACAGGATGGGGAGCTTATGCTTTCACTTAATTATGTTCACAAGATTCTGACAGAATGGACACTATCCATGAGCTGTTGGTGAACTCGCCACAGAAAATAAACACACCATTGACTTTGATGATGTAGACACTGATAACTACCATCCTACCATCAACATATAATTAGGGAAGCCATTACAGTGAATGTCAACATAGATGTCTTCAGAGTTACCAACATGTGAGACAACTTTTTAATGGCAGACCATGCAGGTGCAAGCATTCATGCCTCAATATGTTGTCTGTGTTGAGTTTTCAGATCTCTTCCCAATTGGTGAAGGCCAAAGGGGTCCCTAAAGATTAATATGATTTCTGAAACACTGGGTGGACGGGTGTGCATCACATTCCCCAAGTTCTGTCTTTGGTAGAGATTCAGGTTTCTGCCTGTGAACAGAAATGTCCACACATAGATCTGACTGATGATCAAACTCAGAACCCTCCAAATGGGAGTCCAGTGTTTTATCCAGGGACCAGTTAGTCCCCACATGCACACATATACATTCACCAATCTATATGCTCTTCAGGACACTAAATCTGAAGATGGTAGATGTAATACAAATCAGTGTAAATCTATTTACAGGGCACAGACAGGGCTCAGTGGCAGCTGACAAGGAGATTCTTTCTTATTGACAAGGTGGGGGGCATGATGTTCAAGTCAAACAGCAAAGTGTCAGATACTCCAACTGTCATCAGATATGTGCAGTCCTGCACACTGAGGTATGCTGCACGCAGTCTTCCTTGCAGCTCAGTGAGCACATACCAAGGAACCTGATGCCGCCATTTTACAAACTACACAGCATCACACTATAAGGTTGTAATATTAATAACACCACTCACTGCCATGAGAGCCTCATATCTCACATAATTATGTTTCTTTCCACCAAAACTGGTTAGTTGGTTAGTCACCAGCTTCTCACCACGGAGGTCCAGAGTGAATTTGTGGCACTATGGCTGGTTTTCCTCTAACCACTTTGGTTTTTCCTTGACACTTATCACTCTTTACAGGCCTGCTTCTCATGTCGCTGGTGACAGATGAGTATGGATCTTTGGAAGAATGATAAGCATTTTTTTTTTCTTATCATTCTTCCAATGATCGATACTCATCTGTCACCAGCGACATGTGAAGTAGGCCTGTAAGGTCCACATAAACTTCTGTCTATCAAACACAGACTTACAATAATTGTATATGTTTTCTTTATTTTGCAACATGGCTTATGTGGCCATGAATTAACATATATAGACTGAAATGAGTTACAAAATAAAGAAGATGCATACAATTAGTGCAACAGTAATACACTTGTGTGATGGAACCTTATATACCAGTGGTATGAATGCAGCATGGTACAACAATAGAATATATCCTTTCTTATAATGTCTAAACAAATATCTCATATGAGATAGATGCACACATCTCTGATGAGGTTCAAATAGTTTATTGTGTTATTACAGGGTGAAAGTACGGGGACATGAGGGGGAGGGTCAGATCTATCCCCCTCTCTTGGTGCTCAAGTATGGTGAGATCACACAGGAAGAGATTGAAACCAATGCTGAGGTGCCATTCGCATTCAGTGTGGAATATGAAATGGAGAACTCTATGTCACATGCTATTGAGGTGGGAACACATTGGATATGAATCTTGTTTTAAAGATAGCCTGTTGGCCTCTTCTAGCCTGAATCCAATGTTTTAAGAGGTTTTCTTTGCAGATGATGATTCATAAACACCTTAAATAATTTTCTGGCTCTTTGCCTGCAATTTCTAGACAAAGTTGCATCATACAAAATATTTACATACCATCTATGGTACCCTCATGTGAGTAGATGCGTCCTTCATCAGTATTTCCACATGGTGGAGGACACTGTTACCCAGTGACGCTTACAAGACACATCACTGAGAAAACTGTTAAGAATGAAATAAATCACTTTGGTAATAACAGTTCAGAAAAAGTAACCTGGTTTTTCTCTGACTAAAACTTATTGGTGAGGTCTTGTCTTGTAACATGACTAGCACTGACCTTGCATAGGTGATGAGGAAAATTATTTTCATCTTCCCCATCTTTATCCCTCACATCTTTACTTTTTTCTCCCATTTTTCATGCATTCCTTTTCCATCCCCTATATTTATCCATCCTGTCATCATTTTTCTTCCTGAATCCTAGCAATGGCACACTGGGGAGCTTAAGTCAGTTGGTAGTGAGTACTGTACAGGAGGCTGTGAAAAGAGGACCTCAGTGCGAATCTGAAGAATCTCCACTATTGGAAGCCGTTGCCAGGAAAAAGCTAGTGAAGACACAGCAGGCTGGAAAAGGCTTAGCAGGTGCTGTGGTGATTTGTGAATTGTGGACATCAGTGGTGGTACTGTAATTGCTTGTAGTTTTGAGTCATGTGTATAAGTGGTCAATAAATCCATTCACCAACCAATCCAAACCCTGTCTGTAGTCACTCATACATGAGAAAGTATATATGTGTGTATATATATATATATATATATATATATATGCATGTGTGTGTGTGTGTATTTAATGATGCTATTCTAACAGTGTACGAGAGGCTGTATGACATGTTCTAGGTATCAGTGGGAGTGCTTAGTGCTCTGGCAGTCATCTGGTCAGGTGTTCAGACATGGAGCAGTTCCCGTCGATGTGGTCGAGTTGGCATTGACCATGTCACTTTAGGTAAACTGTTCATATTTGCATGTGGAAACCTTGCAAATGTGTTCTTCCTTGTTGTGGCCTGTGCCAGTTTCCACACGTTCATGTTCTACAAGGGCCAGAGCGTCGTGCAGGTATTGCTGCCATCCCACCGACAAGAACAGCTTGTCAGGAGCTACGCCATCTCAGCTTTCTCTCTCAAGGTGACTCATGTTGAATGTTGAGTTGCAGGAAGTAAATTGCTGAGGAATTCTGTTTCATATTCTGTGGCTGAATCAAATTAATTGTTCCCATGAATATTTCAAATAATATTCAATTCCTCATTTCTGATTTTGCCTTTGCCAAGACTCTTGAATTTCGGCCATGAATTAAAGAACCAGCTTGAGGAAAACTTGTACATGTTTCAGATAGTTGAAGTTATTCACCTGATCTGGAGGCAGAGTTCTATTGACATATTTTTCATTGACTGGGAGCGACCACGTGCTTGCAGTTCCATGGCGCAATCCCGAAGTCAGCTAACTAGCACAGTATCGGATAATTTGGAGCAGCCAGTCAGCATCTGGAGGACATACTTTGTGGCCAATGAGTGGAATGAGATACAGACTACAAGGAAGACCAGCCTCTTTTTCCAGCTGGTTCTGACAGTCTTTGTGCTCAAGGTGTGTGAAGGACAGGTAGCATCAAATAGCAATGGATGGAACATGGTGATATATGTGTGCTTATGTTGTCACCAGGTGATTGGTGTGGAGCACTGGGCGGTGGCTGACCCAGAAGTGCACACTGCCCCTCCAGAGTATATGGAGGACAGTTCTGCAAGCCCGATCTGCCGTTTTGCTGTAGGGGTGATGACCTACTTGATAATCTACTTGCTGCAGGTTGGTATGGCACAGTAACACATGGTTCTCCCACTCAGTCAGTCCTCACATGCCAGAGGACGTGGGTTTGGTACTAGCAATATCAAGTGCAGTTTCCCGCATGCCTTCCTCATTCCTGAACTCTGACAAAGACAGAACTGTGTGAATGTGGAGAATGCCACATCCCATTGTGGATTAAGTGCACTCTGCTGACTGGCATCTTCACTGTCAACCTATCCAGGCACCATAGGCCAGAACTGTCAAAAGATGCATTATAAAACATGAAGTTTCTGTGAGACTGTGTTCCATAACTTGAAAAAGATTAAATGCATGGTTTGGTATGAAACTGGAACACAAGTGATGGGCTGTCTGTCACTGCTGTGCTGTATCAGTATGTGTTGGTCTCACATGTCAAAGGTTTGAGACATCAGTTCCAACATGTGACACATTCCTTCTTGTCACTTTATGTCCACCATGATCTTGTGCACATACTGGGCAGGACATGAAACTTAAATTACTGAATCTCATGATCAAGTTGGTAGTCCTACTACTTTGTATAGGTCTTTGATCTTAACCTACAGGCTAACTATCTTGACTTAACCATTCATGGTTTACCTCATTTCCTCCAAGCAAATGCTGAAAATACCTTAAAATATGCCATGAACATTTTCTTCCATGTGCCCATCCAATTTACACATCACTTTGATGATCCACATCCTATAAATTTGAAACATCATTAAATAAACCAAGAATCAAAATTCAGTGAGACCCAGAACACATCCTACAGGCCTACAGTTCAGATGAAGAAAAAGAATTGAAGTTTTAAATTATACAGTACAGGATCAGGACAGATGAAGTTATGGGTGGCTTGATCAAGTTGCACGGTTTCTGTTGCAGAGGCTGTTCATGGTTCTTGTATATGAGCGGTACATCAAGAACTCAATTCAGGACTTTGTCGACATTTGCTCCCTGGCCAATATCAGTGTCTTCATTCTAGCTCTGGAGAATTATGGATTCTATATTCATGGAAGGTGAGCTTGTATAATATATATAAAAATATATCTTTCCTATCTGTTTCTTGCTTCATTCTGAAGACCTAATGGGGAACACCCAAAGATACATGTTACTGTAATCATATGAAAAGTTTATCTGTTGACTTACCAGCAAAATAGTCATTGACTTTCAGAGTGTGAGTCTTCATGTCACAGACTCCAGACAGTTTGTCACTACCACAGAAATTAACGGTGAGCACGGGAATCATTGCATTTAAATCCACATCAGTCTCAGACACAGTGGGACACTGAAATGATTGCACAAGTTTCCATAACATTGCATGCAGTTTGATATCTTCATGACACTGGATGTCAAGTTTATGGTCTTCTGGGACATGATGCCATGTAGTTTCTTACACAGCTACCAATGTTTTGGAGGAACTTGCTGCCTTCATCTTCAAGGTATAAGATGAAGATGAAGAAGTGAAGGCAGCAATTTCATGTAAAACGTTGGTACCTGCGCACTGACGAATTATATAGCTTCATATCCCAGAAGGATGCGACCATTATTCTTTGGTGTTCCTTAAGGACTGTCCAGTGTCTCACTTGAATTTATCTAAGAGTTAAACAAAGAAGCTTACAATGAAAACCAGGACACATCCTCTTCTTGTAGATCAGCGCATGGGTTTGCAGACACAGACATGCAGACAATAATGAGGCAACTACAGAGAGAGGAAGAGGATCTGTGTGGACACCGGGGACTGTTGCCTGGCACTGATCAGCAGACCTTCCAGATGGCAATTCCTCTACAACTGCGGTCCTATTATCAGAAAGTCATGGCTCCAATTAATTCTGTAAGTGGCTCACATGATGGAGACTAGTAATACAGACTTCTGTTGAGGAAATTCATTCATGAAATCATTTTCAAGATCAGAACAGAGATGAAGATATAATATTAAAATGGATCTTATGGAAGTAATGAAGTATTTATAATCCACTTGTCCCTCTCTGCAGATAACGCTGTCTACAAAAAGGATGTCGGTGGCTGGTCCTGCAGCCCTCAGATCCAAAGTATTGTCAGCAAATATGGACAGAATAATTCAAGCATACCACAACATGAACAAATTCCTGGCTGCTTATCTTGAACATGTAAGAATTTCTTCATAGATGTTAAATCTAATTTCTGAGTCACAAAAGTTCTACACTGCTGTGAGAAATACTGAAGCTCTTTGTTTAATATTAGATAAGTTCAGTGAGGGTTCCATGTGCTGTAGAGAAATCACGTATGTAAGTAATGCACATTATTTAGACTAACTACATGAGTAAACTTTAATTCCTTAATTTCAATCATATTGTTTCTTTATAGTTTTGAGGTTTTCCTTGTTTAAAATTTGTGATACTTCCTAGATGAAGACAGACTGCTTCTGCTTGTATGGTACAAAATTCATAATTTTGTAATATTTGTTCTTCCTTCTGTGATTCAAAGCAAGTGAAACCTGCTGTCTGCTCCCTCTCTACAGTCCCTGCCCCTCTCAGGTATGATAAGTATGTGACTTGTGGTCATGAGACCTTTGCTTTGTCCATCTATAGAAAGTGAAAATGTCACCATTTTGTTTCAGGCACTGAAGGACTTGGATTATGATGTGAGAGAGAAGACATTTGTTGAATCTCTACTTGACATTGAGTTTACGGAAATCTTCGACAAAGGAATTTTGTATACAGGTTAGGCACTTTTACACTTTTTCATATATGCAGGAACTTTTCTTTAAGTGGATGCTGACACTGAGTGTCTTCTTATGTTGCAGATACTGGTCATTCTTTTGACAATGTTCTCTTCTATGGAAATGAATTTACATTGGCAACATTTGACATTTTTCTGTTTTTCTTCATCGAGATGCTTTTCCATGACTTCCTGTTAGCTGCTGTTATCACCGCATTCTTTGCAAAGGTCTGTATGGTAATACAAGCAGAAATACCCTCTCTTTGGCTGGGATGGTCGCTTTCCTTCCCAGTATACAATAACTTAAACTTTGAAGACAGAGGAACACTCACATTAAGAAATTTAAATATTATCATTCAATTGAAAAATGATTGGGAATGAAGATTCATATTGCATCAAGAAACTCAGCCAAAATATCTGCACATTCTTCTAACAGTCATGGCTACCGTACATATTGCCAAGAGTACAGAGTAAATTTCATACCTATGGGGTGCTCTCTTAGGCCTGCAGTAGGAAACTAGAAATTTACATTTTTATATATAATGGAAATAAAGGTAGGATAATGCATCGTCCAAGAGAAAATGACCCTTATCAGCATGGCCAATGTGGTGCATAATTGGCACAACTGAAAACATTCAGAAAATTTTAATATATACATTTTAGTATGTCCATGGGTAAATGCACTACTACATATAGGTGTACAGAAGACACATCATGTCCTCTGGACCCTGAGTAATGATGAAGTACCCCCCCCCAGCTTAGTCAGTACTTGCCTCCCTGACTGCGGCCGTATAACTCAAACTTTGTGTTACTCCTTCAGATTCAGTATCTTTAATTTTCATGGAAATATACATAATGAAGTCTTGTCAAAGTTACAGCTGTGTTTTGCTTCTGTCTGCAGATGCTTGTGATCATCCACAGAGTGGGTGGAAGGCACAACCTGGCCAGAAAGACACTCATAGATGAAAGATTTCTGGTATGAGTTACAGTATGTCACAGTTCCATGAGGTTAGCTCTTCAGATTTATCAGATTTATTGCACTGCATAAGTTTGAATTATGGTGAAGAAAACTGTAGCTTTTTCCGAACAGCTGCTACAGAAAAACTGAAATTCTGGACTAACAAAATGTGCACAAGAAAGTTGGTTTGTATTGACTGTAGGACACAGCTGTCTGGCAGTCTTACTCTCATGTAATATCCTTATTTTGCTGGTTTATCCCACGCATGCTTCCAGCAAAATCACACTCCGGTGTCTAATGTTGCACCTGCAACAGTTGTATATTGTATTTCTAAGGGTTCTGTATGATCCTGACATGGAAAAAGTTGGACTCTCCTTTTTTTACAAATTTCCTATGTAATGCTTCAGCTTTTTGAAGTTAACTGTATCATCTGTAGAAGCTGTCCCAATGTTTCGGTATACATTTCAGTCTGCATGTTCAGGGAAAGTGAACAATGGAAGAGTTTGAACATATGACATGACTAAATCCCAAAAGCCAAAGGAGCATACTATATGCCTGCTATGAAAAACCAAGGAGAGGAATAACTGTTCCCTCTTTGAGCATCCAGAGCAACATTCTCTTGCCCGACCCAACTTAACAGTTCTTTTCATACACTGCATACTATGTGTTCCACATGACAAGTGTAGAGGAAAACTTGCAACATGAAAATTTTATATGACTTCATGTCATGCTGTCATGTTTCAATGTTGTCCTCTCATCAAGCTGGCTGGTGCAGTGACAGTGCTGTAGACTCATGTTTGGGAGGTGCTCTGTTCAAATCACAGCAGGGATGCTGGCTATCATGGCTGAGGTTATTCTGTGGTTTTCCTTGGTGCCTCCAGGAAAGTGCTAGGATAGCATCTTCTTTAGATCACAGTCATTTTCTTCCAGTTCATCAGACATTCAGACATCCTGCCACATAATGTTATGTAGTTAGATAATGACAGTGTTATAAAATAATCAATAAAAGAAGTCTTCTCCTCCTCTGCCTCCCCTCCATCTATCTCTGTTTCCCCAAAGCTCTTCCTGTTTCCTCCCATGTTCTTCCTATCTTCTGTGTGCATCTTTTGTAACCTGTTGTTCCCATCTTAAGCCTGGTCTTCCTCATAGGTGTTTTTCTCTTAGTTTCACATTCAAAATCTACTTTGGATTTCCACCTTCATTCATTCTCAAAGTGTGGCCATACCATCTTTGTGTTCTCAGTAACATGTGAACAGTAACTGTGGCGATTCAACCAGTGTCACAAGCCTCTAGAGAACCTTTCTCAAGAGAGTCTGGTGTCTTCAGAAACAGTGCTTCGATAACAGGGCCAAGGGGATTCTGAAGGATGACAAGTTTATTGCAGGACTGAGTAAAGCAATGATGAAAACTGAAAGCTGAAGTTGGCTGATGTAAAGTTAACCTGCATTTCATCCCTCACAACATGTTCCTGATGTAGGACAAAACTGAATGGCAGAAGTAATGTCAGGATGTGAGGATGACAAAAACGGAAGGGCAGGGCATGAGCTGTGTGAAAACAATGACACAGCCATCTTTATTCTCCTTTATAAAGTTAGACAACAAGCTGCACATGTAGCTAAACACCACGATCATAACTTCACTCAGGGGTGTACAATACTGCTGCAGTTATTCTCTAAATTGTACTCAATATGATCACATGAAATGGACAGCTGACTGATTTCTACTTATATATATATATATTGTAACGTGTTTGGAGTAGGTACTTCCATGGTAACGCAATAACAGTGGGCCGTTGTGTAGAGAATGCCGAAACAACGAATGCATTTCCCTAGAGATGAACAACAGAGGGTTCATTGCGAAACAGTGGACTGTTGAAACAGCAGAAACGGAACTGTGAGAAATGGTTTCTGGTATCCGGTCCACATAACGCCTATACAAGAGAGTTTGAAGCAGACACGTAGACATATATGAATGAGACAGTCGAGATCCAGCCACAGCCAAGGACAGTTGAGAGGTCACAGCTGCAGTAGAAGCATTGAAGTGGAGGCAGTAGTTGTGATAATGCAAGTGATAGTAATTGTATTCCTGACTCTAAGTAAGTGTGGATGAATGCGTCCAATAAACAATTGAATCCAAAGGCCACGTGAAGTTATTTGTCACATGACATACCCAACACGTGACAATATATATATATACAGACTCATTATAGGATAGGAATGTATGACGCAGGCTTTCTTCACAGTATCCACGTACATGGGAAAACAAGAACAACAGCAGAATATGTCCTGTTTGTTTACACTGCAGAAGTAATAGGGAGCTGAGAAATTAGTTGCAAAGGTTTTTTTTTTATATTTCATTCAGCAAATCGTAGTGGATATTTTGATGTAAAGAAGAATATAAATTAATCAATTTGTACTCATTTTCCACACATAATAATGGAACTGTTTCCTCTCTGAACCAACCCCTGTAATCTCCCTTATCAAGCTAGGAGCTAGGGTTGCTTGATCAAGCCCCCCCCTAAACCAGGATTAGATGCCATTAATTTGACAAACTTGACTACACCTGTAATTGTAAAACAAAGCACAGATCACCAGGCTGCCATACCTCAAGACTTTGCTCACATACATGTAATACAATACCCTGACATCTATATGCTGGTACTGGCTCCATGAAACTTGGCACTAATGGACTATCAATGATTCTCAGTTTTGTTTCAAATCTATTCAGAAACCAATGTAACAAAGCACAAATATTTACTTGATATGGATGTATTCCCCACTTTATGTTATAGTGATGTGGACTTAATATTCTCATTTGTTATTACATTTAATTTCCAGTTCTGTCTTGAGAGGTAAGAGTCCCATTGGACATAACTGCAATATGGTCCCATTGTGAGCAAATGATGTAATATTCATTATATGATTTGTGGTACTGAACCCTTGAAATTAGCAATAAACAACTGCCTATCTCAGGAATTGTTGATATTAGCTTATTGCATACATTTGTGTTTGATTTTACCTATGGACAGCATGAAGCTTCACAATTTGTGTGTCAAATATTACCTGGTTCTGCTATCTCACTGAAGGATGCACATGTGCAGCTGAAGATTGGCATTCTGATAAAAAATTTAATGCATTCCTCAGTATTTCCAGTGAGTACTGAAACAGGCCATGACAGCTTCACTGTGCATAATCACATCCATTCTTACAGGGGACACTCTTCTGGGACGTAATGCTGTTTAGTCTGGAGAGTGTTCAGACTCAGCTTACCATCTGCTTCTGCTTAGCTGACCCTTCATCCCTGAAGATGGAGGCAATATGGTCCTCTGGAATGTCAGGCTGTCTAGAGCTACATGGTATTGCAACCCAAAAGACTCTATTCTTCATAGTCATCACCATGAATGAGAACCTCAAATCCAACATCTCAATTCATGCAATTACTGGCTTTTTGGAAATTATCCTTCATCCTGCTTTTTATTTAAAACCAAATTTTGGAGACTGCACTCTGTCTCTGTCCTAATGTAAAAGTGTTCTCAGCTGGGCCCAATCAATAGAGCGGGTCCCTATGTCCTGCGATAGGAACTAGCTCTACCAATGCAACCCAACAGAGTATGCCTTTTACTTGGGGATGGAGATAAAATCTGGTCTTCAATACATTGGTTTTAAATAAAAAGCAGGACAAATGATAATGTCCAAAAAGTTAATAACTGCATTAATACTTGTAGTTACTGTAGGATTCTGACAGTGGTGTATAACACAGAGAGATATTGGGTTTTTGGACTTTATCCATTGTCCTGGTTTTAAGATAACTAAGAAAAATACGACGTTTCAGAAACTGGATCTGTTTCCGTCCTCAGGTGAGGGAAAACACCTATACTGTTGGGTCCCTTAGAAAGAGCTAGCCTCAATCGTCCAATGGGGACGATTGAGGCCCAACAGAATAGGTGTTTTCCCTTACCTGAGGATGGAAACAGATCCAGTTTCCGAAATGTCGTGTTTTTCTTAGTTATCTTAAAACAAGGACGATGGATAAAGTCCGAAAACTCAATATCTCTGTGCATTAATACTTGTATACCATTGCCACAGACTTCTGGGTCTTACTTCAATTCATGCTAAATGCCTTTGCTCTTAATACAAACATTACATTAGAAATTAATACATATACGGGATATCAATACACACTTAAAATTATGCTTCATCCCTGTGGGCCAAACTTCATGTTTCAGAGATACATTCTGCATTTTAAAACAAATGGACGACACACCAAATGCTTGTTTATTTGGATTATGCAGCATGTCTCAATATTCTGACATTTCTGCAGTGTCTCTCCATACCTAAGAGGTGGAACTTGATGAATTTTTATCAGTGATGCCAAATTACTGTACCAGGCTTGCCATATTGCTTGGAAACTTAAATAAATATTCAGTTTAACCCTTATTAATATAGTTTTGCATCACAACTCATGTTCATGCATGCAGAAATGTAATCACACTCTGCCAATGGAAACTAAACTAGGTATTCACCAGTTTCTTCCTGGTGAAAAGTTATGTTTGCGTTCCCTCACTTTAAGGTACCAGGGTAACACTCTTGCAGCTGGACCACCCCAATTGGACCCAAAGAGATATTAAGGTTCTCACAGTGCTGACTATAGAGAAAACTACCTTCTGGAATGTGACAGCATGTAGCCAGTAGAAGTTCATCAATGTTTTGGAGGAACATTCTGCCTCCATCTTCAGGACTGAACATTAAGTCAAGCTTTCTGCTTCATTTTTGTTGGTTTCTTGTTTGAATGACTCTATAACCCTGAAGATGGAGGCAGTGAATTCCTCCAAAATGTTGTGTAACTACTACGAGACTATATGGCATCACATTCCAGAAGACACTGTTCTTCATTTTCAAATATTTATGTGTCCATTGTTATTTGACACAGACTTTGTTTGTATTCTTGAGACAGTGTACGGACAGCTGACACTACTAACAAGGGAAGAATGATTAGTTTCTGATTGCTGAAGTATTGTCTGTAATGCAGTAGAAGTGAACTTTTACTATAGAAATGATAATATCTGAATTACTGAAGCAATTAAAATTGTGACACATACATTAACATCTAACAGAGGTGACCCTGTGTTAGCCAATAATAATTACACATATTCTTGGTATTCAAAGACCACAGATGGTACAAAAATATATTGGTGGTGTGAAAAGTAAGGCATCTGTAGTGCTAGATGCCCTGCACACCATAACATACACACACTAATTATGAAAGGTGGAAACCATTGACATGCAGCTAGTCAGGCTAAACCTGTGAGCTGTTGCCCAAATCAAATGGCTGAGCATCATCCTAATAAACCACCAGCAGTAACAAAGTTTTTCAAGGATCCCCCTCCCCAAAGTGACATGAAAGTAAAATGAGATTGTTAACGTAAAAAATGTGTGAGAAATTATACATGGACTACAAAATATGGACAAAACACCCTGGAAGCCATGTGACAATATGTTGAGACTGAACGTCTTTGTGAAATGTATGTTTCAATACAAATCTGCTTCTTTCAGTTTTCAGTATCTTTCAGAGACACACACTTTAGTGATATCTATACAATAACAGCCTATGTTCAAATGTAACAATTCCAATTTCTTCCTAGAGAGGGCCTCATATTTATTCTTTTCTAAAAATCTTCCTGTTTTCATTTCTGTCTGTAATGTGTGTCTACAGCACAAAGAGGTTCTCGCATGATCGTGACTTGCGTTTAATGCCCAACAAGTTTTTGAGGACTCTGTGCCCACTGCCCATTCGTGCCTTTTGCTTTTTCTTCTTGCTGAGCTTGTTGCAGTCTCGCCATGGGTTCAGTTGCACCTGTGCTAGAATGCCAACTAGAAGCTCATCCACGTTGTGGTCAAGTCCACTAGATGTCTCTATAAACTTGCAGCCACAGCTGTTTGCCAGCTTGCGACCAACTGCAAGGCATAAAGTACAGTACGTCATACATCGAGCAAGTTGGCTCAAAGGACAACGTTTCTGACATATTTTCGGCTTGTTTTCAGGAGGCACCAGGTTCAAATCTTGGCTTAGAGAGCAACTATCCTGATTGAAGTTTTTCTTGTTTTTTTTTTTGTGGGCACCCCAAATAAATCCTAGGACTGTACCTCAAATCAGGACATTGTGAATTCCTTCCACATTCTTTCCAATTCATTATTCATAATTCATTTTACCATTCAACATTATACAAGTAATTACAGCCCAAGTTACTGATAGTATTGTTAAACAAACCACAAATACACATACATTCATATACATCATAGGGAAATGATTACAGGTAAAGGTAAAGTTGTCCCTGTGCATAATTAAGCACCACACCATGATAATGTTTGGGAAACTCCATCATTCTTAATGTCAGCACTGGATGCAGGTGAGTGATCAGATTTAAGCCCCAGGCACTTCACCCTGGGGAGAAAACCCCCAGTATGCATTCGATGGGAGTCTGGGTGGTGCCCACAGCCAGTCTGGATATTCTGCAGAAAAGAAAGATGTGTTGCCCCTGCCAAGAATCGAACCCCAATTCCTCAGTCATCCAAGCCCATAGCCTAGTCCCTATACCAACTGAGCTATCCTGTTTCTTAGGCAAATGATTAATGTTTTGAAATGTTATTCCGAAAAAGATGCAAGAAGCTGAAACAGCCAGAAGATACACCTTGCAGTCTGCCAAGAGAGACAGTCCACTCAGCTTTTGACATTTTGGTACTGACACTGGGAGTGGAGCAGTTGATAACACTGGGGGAGGAGCCAGTCATAACATTTCCTTTTACCTCAGGTTTAACCCATTTAACTGTATTGATTGCTCTAGGGTACTCAGGATAGGAGAATAAAAAGAATGGTAAATTTTTCCTGTAATTAATTAAGCACTGTAACATGAAGGTGTATGGGGGAGTGGATGTATAGATCCATATTTTGTCCTCGGCACTAGTTTGAGGTGAGTGGTGAGCTTCACGCCCCTGCCACTTTACTCCCGGGGAAAGAGCCCCCAGTAAAGCACAATAGATCACTGTAGGTCACGGTGCAAGGGCCAAAAAGGTCCACCCCTTATACATTCATTCAAGAGTCTTTAGTACCCATTAGATGGACTGAGTGGGCCACAGAGCCGGTCTCGATGACAAGAAGAGAAAATTCTTCACCTTACCAGGACTCTTAACTCCAACCCCTCGGTTGTCCAGCCCATAGCCAGTTGCTATACTGACTACACTAATCCGGCTCCTCAGGATAGTTATATAATTCTAATTTCTGGCATTAATATTTGGTATATTTATGTTTTTGTAGTTCCACTTTTTCCAAAGACCTAGGGAGTGGGGGCACATGACTGGTCCCTCCCCTCCAACACAGAAACACTGAAGGCCACTGCCCATTGCTGGTTAACAAACATGTCTCTCACATAAGCAGCTTCAGGTCAGTGCATAAAGAATCCTGACCAGAATGAGCAGGTGAAGAGACAGCATTTTCATTCTTGAAAGAATATGCTCACTTACCAAAGGGATTCTTGAAAGTACCACAGAATTAAAACGAACCAGGGTAGTTAAGTCAGTATAATGACCAACATGGACTGGTAAAAGGTAAAGCTGCCCCTGTGCTTAACTAATTAGGCACACTGGCATGCAGTTATATGATTGAGTGGTTGTAGAGATAGATACACGTTTTCTTGACATTGATACTAAAGAGAGGTGACTGACCAACTATGCACCCCAGCCAAGCAACAGGCTATGAGTTGGACGGCCTGGGTTCGATTTCCAGCAGTGCAAGATTTTTCTCATCTCCACAGAGCCCAGAGTGGCTCTGGGGCCCGCCCAGCCTCATATCCAATTGGTAATGAAGGTTATTTCCCTGGGGGTAAAGTGACCAGGACATGAAGCTGAGAACTCCTCCTCCATCTAGGACAGAGGTCAAGAAAGGTTGAGCTATAACTACAGTCCCCATATGTCTTCATGGGACAGTGTTTAAGTAATTAAGCACAGGGACCACTATGCACTAGACAGCTGAGGAATCAGGGTTCAATTTGGGGCAGGAGACCTTCCTCTTCTCCACTGCATCAAGTTCAGCTCTGGGGCCCAACCAGTCTCTTATCAAATGGGTACTAGGGGCTATTTCCCCAGGGATAAAGCGGTAGGGACATGAAACTCACCACTAACATTCATCTAATGTCAAGATTAAAAAGGGTGAGGATACACCCCCACTCCCCCAAATATCTTTATGGGGTGGTGCTCAATTAATTCAGTGCAGGGACAACTTTACCTGAGCACAGCAATGAAGGTACTGTAATTAGTAATTTGTAATAATTAATACCGGGTGCATGAGGAATTTTGTTGGCATTGAAATAAATTACCTGACATGGGGACCTCCCGTTTGCGCTCCAGGTCTGCCTTGTTCCCTGCTAGGATGACTCCCCGTGATGCCACATAGTCTCCTTTCCAGAGGAAAAGCAAGATGTCCTCTGCCACTTTGAGGCTCTTCTGGTCCACCACAGAGTACACCACCACAAACACATCCGGGTTGTACGTTGCACAGTAGCCCTCCACCTGCACACAGTGGTGTCTGATCAACTGAACAAGGTGGTAGACAGAATGGTGTACTTCTTCAAACACTGACAGTTGCTTAGCTGATGAAGTATTACCTGTCTTTCTGGAATTATTGAAGAAGTTGAATCAAATTTTAAATGCTTCTGATTTGTGTGTGAGAGGCGCTCAGCACAAATTTTGGCCAGGACATTGAATATCCTGACTTAGGACTTTCATGAGTCTCCTCAGCCACTCCACTTATTCCTTCTAGGTCTGTGTCCACTAATGAACCTACAATCTGACACTGACAGTGTTGTTAAATAAACAGTGAGTATATGTAAAAACAGCAAATGTAAATAAGTTTAATAGAAGTCTGGGATGAATGTATTCAGTGCATAACTGATTGCTATCAAATGATAAAGAATGGCATTTCCTCTATTTTCACTGAAGATCAAGCAATAATTCTGCCACTTGTTTTGTATCATTGCAAAGCGAAATCCCTTACCCTGATTTCAAAACAAATATTACAAGACCTTGGGGTTCAATCACTGGACGATTGAGACTAGCTCTTCCTAATCGGCCCAACTGAGTAGGTCTATCCTGCTCCATCCACCTGCAGACAGAGACAGATCCAGTCTCCGAAACATTGTGGTTTTTTGTCTTATATATACCAGACGATGGTACAGTCCAAAATAAGCCATATATAGTTCTGTTCATTACCATGTTCACAAGAGTCCTCCACTGGTCCCTATCCTGAACTAGGTCAAACAAATCCATACCATCCCATTCTATCTCTCTAAGATCCATTTTAATATTGTGCACTCACCTACATCTTGGTCCTCCTAGTGGTCTCTTTCCTTCTGGCAGTCCCACCAATGTCCTAGATGCAGTCCTCTTCTCCCCATTCGTGCTACATGCCCATCCCATCCCATCCTCCTTGACTTCATCATTGGATTGGATAGATCTGGCTCAGGATAGGGACTAGTGGAGGGCTCTTGTGAACACGGTAATGAACCTTCGGGTTCCATAAAATGCTGGGAAATTCTTGAGTAGCTGCAGAATTGGCGGTTCCTCAAGAAGGGCTCAGCTCCATGAGTAAGTAAGTAAGTAAGTAAGTAAGTAAGTATGTATGATTTGTTAATAATAACTTCCATATGTGTTGATAATATCCTTCTGAAGATGGTCGTTTTGACCAAAACATGTAAAGGATGAAAAATTAAAAACACAACTTTTATCAGTGACATTGGACGGTGGTAAAAATCTTATATACAATTACTAGTGTGATGGACCAGGATGAACCAAGTTAAGATTAATAAATAATTAATTGGAAAGAATGAGGAAGGAAATGGTAGTGGCCTGCTTCAAGGCACTATCCCAACATTTGTCTGTAGAGACTAGGGAAAACCACATAAAACCTAAAATCAGGAAATCCAGCATCTTAGCAAAAATTCTAGCTAAGTACTTCTCAAATTCTTGTCAGTGGTATTACTGCTGGACCATCGTGTTGGTACCCAGCTACCAAGATGCATGATGTCATAACCCAGAAGACTACATTATCATCATTACTGTGAAAACCTAAAATCTCAAGGCCCTTAAATTACAAGAGTTTGAAAACAAAATAGCCAGGAAAATATCTGGACTGTAGCATGTTACATATATACAAAGACAACGATAGCAGCCGTGTTTGCTGTTGCGTTTGTATTCAAATAGTTCCCATTTCAAGAACATGTAGGCCTCAGTTACTATGGGGTTTGTGCCTATCATTCCAGTGGTGAATATTTAAAAGAGGGCATATGGAACTCACCGACATCTCAGAGGCGGGATGGTCCACTATCTCAAGCTCTGTCTCCTGCCCATCCAACATCACTGACACAGACTTGCGGCCAAACTCTTCATCTGCAACACAATTTTGATTTGACATGGTTTGACGGGGGAGTCTCTTTATTGTTTACTTTATGGTGCTTAGGGATACTTAGTGTTGAGTGACAGAATAATGGGTGATGATCACATGAAAACCCATCCTTTAAATGGAAAGTTATATAGGGGGATGCACAGATATATGACAGCATAAGCCAGTGGTTTCCCTGCTTTACATATTGACGCCCCCTCAGTTTAGCCAAGATTTAATTGCCCCCCTCCCTCCTAAATATGTGTGTGTTTAGACAACAGCTCTTCAGTTCTTTTTTTTTTATTTTATCAAGTAATGACATTTATCACGATTTTACAAATGCACATTTTAAGAATTGCAATCGATTCAGTTGCACTACACGAGTATAACTACCCCACTGGCCGCACTTAACGCTTTGGAAACCACTTCCATAAACCAAATTTTCCCTATGAATTAACGCTTTGGATTCTTCAGTTCATCCAAATAATGTTTAAAAATTCAATCCCTACGTCACAGGAAACACGTTGCATCATCATAACAAAGCTAAACCCGTCAGTGCTGTTCAAGGAAATAATCATGGTTTATGCATAGGGAAAGCATCGTCCTGCTGGTCCTGCTCTCGCAGCCTCGTGATACTGACCGGTGATAAGCTGTGCCAAAGATCGCACTAACGAACTGGATGCTGGAGGGAGCATTGACTGACTTGTCAGAGAACTGAACTACAGTAAAGTGTCGTTAATTCGGACCGAAATATAAGAAATGCTGTTCACAGTTGTGTACATAATTCAAAAGACACATTGCAATTAGGAAGGCAGATGAGTCACTTGCCTGTTCAGACATAACTTAACACTTTCTTCAAACCTGCACCAGTACGTTCAAAAACAAGTACAGCTTCTGAGTCTTCTATCAGTGAATAAATGTATTGTCTTTTTATAGTTTTTAAATAAAGGCTCTACGATGATATTTTGTTATTTATTTTTATTCGAATTACTTATATCATTAAATTTTCCATTTACTTGTGTTCTAAGTTTTGTTGTCTTTTAGGGCTACCATTTGCGTCACATGTCCGGATTATCGCTTAATCCGGATATCTTCTTCCAGTTGCGCCGGATTAGCAAGGATTTACTGTAATAACCTTTATACGTAAGGCCATACACGTATACTTATTTTATTTACCTTTGTAACATTAAACGTATTGTTTTGTTTATTTTTTGGTGTCCATGTATTTATTTGCCCTGAAAGAAACAAAAATGGGCTACATTGCCCGCCATTTTGTGATAAACTCTCAAAGCTCGTCCGTGGTCTGCGCTGCTGACAGAATTGTAAAATAACCCACAGAAGAAAAGACCTGAAGGTAGACATATGCACGAAATCACAACTGAGCCCGCTGTTCTGCGCTTGCCTGAAACTTCGTCCCTCATAATATGGGATTCACAGACTGAGGGCGTTACAGAACAGGGTAAAGGTAAAGTTGTCCCTGTGCTTAAAGAATTAAGCACTATGCCATGAAGGCTCATGGGGTAGTGGATGTATAGATCCACACTTTCTTGATGTCGGCACTAGCTGGAGGTCAGTGCTCAGCTTCACGCTCCAGCCACTTTACCGCCGGGGTACCCGTTGGATAGGAGGTTGGGTGGACCCCAGAGGCGGTCCGGAAGACTTGGAGAAGAGGAAATTCTTGACTTTAGAGGGACTCGAACTCCGACCGTAGCCAGTCGCTGTACCGGCTCCTCTACAGAACAGGGCGCTGAGGAGAAAGTTTGGACAGAGGAGGGAGATGCAGTGACGGGAGGTTGCAGAAAACAGCATACCTAATGAGCAGCTTCGTAGCGTGTGCTGTACACCAGATATTAGAGTGGCCGGAGCGAACAGGGCATGTACTCGTAAGAGGAGACAATCCCAAGCTGAAGAGATCACTTGGAAGATAAAATTGAAATCGAACAAGGGTCGACAGAAAACAAAGTTCGGAAACGTGCATTTGATAGAAATGAGTGCCCGCGAGAGTGCAAATTACATAAGTATCGCTGCTGAATTGTTTCAACTGCGTTGCTATAGTTACAACAGTACTGGCAACCTCGCAACATTGTTGCCTGCTTCACGGGGCGCCGGTAAGCAAGAGATACTCAAAGAGTTCGTATATCGATTTGGAAACCGAGAGAGACAGTACACATTGCGTTACGGAAGCGAGACGGAAAGCACTGAAACTTCAAGCACCGCGACACAAGCAGTCGGGGCTGAACAGGTTCTAAAGCAGAAGGTTTCCACGTAGAAATTAATTGGATATTTTGAGTACGTTTTTATACTTCGATGATAATCAGAATTCTAAACAATGAGGTCGCTGCAACAGCAGCAGAGACACGGGGCAAAGTAAAGGAAGTAGTGCGATTGGCAGCGCAGTCATCTGTTTCGCTCATGTAAACATCTAGAGACGAGGTCTGTCGTCATAGAAACACGAGTATATTCATTACAAAGCAATATGGAAGGATAGCCCATAGGATGTTTCAAAACAAGGCGCCTCTCGAGAAGTCCGCCGTCTGCAGGGCGAAGCTCATCCACTTCGGAGATGCTCATCGTTTGCCTGAGACCAGAATTGCCGGTTCTTCGCCCGGGATATGGCGACTTTGCTAAGTAAATGTTACGTTCATACATCACAGAAAACACACTGGGTCCCCATTACAGAGACCAGACGGTTAGTACTGTTTAGGAAAATAAACGTTGTGTATTGTGAGAATCATACGGAACAAGTAAATACGCTGTGTAAGCAAAACGCAAAGATCTTTAACGTTGAAGTAGGTGGTATAAATAGTAACCACCACGCTCTAGTACTGCGTATAATGTTATGCAAGTTTCGGACGAAGTGTACGGAATGAAAATTCATAAATGCACCAAAACTACAGCCAGTGTAAAAATAAAAACAACAAAATTACCTGATTAACATTAGGAGCGATACTTCCAAAACGATCCGTTCGAGGACCCTGGCTGTAGCTGGCCACAGAGACCAGGAACCCAGAGAATACTCACCGAGCGATGTGTCGTAGGCACATATATAGTCCGACGTCGTGAACTGGCACGTCAGCGCTGTCTTGCCGACTCCCGAGGCGCCCAACATCGCCACTTTGTACCTGGGTGGCGTCGAGTCATGAGCTTCGTTGCTGTACTGCGACGCCGNCAATGGTTTGCATTCCTTTGTTTCAGCAGCAAAACTCTCATCCAGAAGCATTTTAATACGTGGTCTGACAATAAAGTTCGCGAACTCATCGCGGTAAATTGCTACATATTTCATTGCTGAATATCATTGTGGTCGCCCTCAAAATACTCCCCTTGGGAAGCTATGCACCGATGCCAGCGCCTAGTTCACCCTTAAAAACACTTTTGAACTGGTTTTGTTGAATGGCCTTCAGAGCTGCCATCATATTACTCCTGACGTCATCAATGTCATCAAAATGCCTTCCTTCCAGTATTTCCTATATCTTTGGTAACAAGAAAAAAGTCATTGGGGGCTAGATCAAGTAAATAGGGAGGGTGTTCCAGCACAGTTATTTTCTTACTAGTTAGAAACTCCCTCACAGACAACGCTCTAATTCAAGCTCCGACATTCTCGTGACGGCACACTCGGAAAGAGATTGGTATAGATCAACAACAACACAGCTGTGAAATGCTGATATTCCAACGTTATCAAACCATACTGAGGTGCTGCCACGGCAAGCACACGGTGGCGAATTCGCGAACTTTATTGAGCTCCAGCTCAACATGTTACCACTGCAGAACGGCCTGTCTGGGTACACAAGTCAACATGTTCTAACGCACCAAGTGGTGCAGGCAATTCTGAGAAGTGTTGAAACACAGTTGGCATCGCGTCTTTCTTGCCTGTTGCGTCATAAGGCCCTCTTGGTTTTTTACAATTCAAGCGAAAGCTGATAATTCAAGTGCTACGTATGCCTTCGCTGTAATATTCTGCGTGTTACTTTCACGACGGGCAAACAGAGAGCTAACCCCACTGGCCCTAAAAAACGTAGAATTTTATGATACATCTGATGAGCACATTTTGGTTCACAGACACTTTTTCTTTCATGAAGCTATTTGAGAATGAGAGGCGAGGCCCAGAAGTTAGCATATGTCATATTTCACGTCCTCACCACTAATTTCCCTATAATATATTTAAATATTATTCTCGTATTTCCTCTCTTTTCATGAGAAATTCCCTATAGACCTATATATAGGAGAAGGAAAGGATCCGGAAGGAAGTGGGCATGGCCTAAACGAGGTACAATTCCGCCATCTGCCTGGAGGGGCTGAGAAAACTATTAAAAGCCTAAACCACGAAACTCAATGACCCAGACGAGATTTGAATCTAGCATCTCCCGAATTCAGTCTACAGACTCACCTCTAGTCCAACCTGTTTGATGATTTTGGTTCCCATGGTAATGACTGGGGGGGGGATGTGAAGCTATCCCTGTAACAGGCCATGGAGGCCTAAAGGGTTGTGAGACGTCGAGGCTCCCACATTTTCTCTAGACAACCGGCTCACGGATGGCGGTCAAGTTGTCAGCCTTACCCTTACCGGCCGCTCTTTGCCCCCAGGGAGATTTCTGGTACTCATTTTTGTTAGAGGCTGAGTCAACCCCAGAGTCATAGTGCGGCTGGGAGAATTAGAGCAACTGAAAAATCCAGTGACCTCGTCGGGAATCGAACCCGCGACCTTCCGGCTTGTAGCATGGTACCTCAACCAATTACGCTGCCACGTGACATGGTATATTGAAGATAGATTCCAGTAACTTTGAAATGATGACGTGGCGATCTACATCACTATTTGATGATGACACGACATCAGAGCTGCTTCAGAAAGAGTACCTTTCGTCCACCTGTAACAACCACTACCAAAATGAGGTGGGACAGGCAAACAAAATGCATTCTATACAAGAAATTCGGGGAAGAACTAATAGCCTACTTTCACTTGATACGACACGGACCGCATAGAAAACGAAAAAATTACTGGGGATACACACACAGACAACAAGGTGATCTCATAAGCTCCCCCTCAAAAGGAGGGTACACAGAGAGACAGACAGCAAAGTGAACTGCAAACATGATTTTGATTCATAAAGCTTAAAATAGAATATCACTTGGGAGACGTAGGCATAGATAAGAGAATAATATTAAAACGGATATTAAGCATACTGGTTGTGAGATGTGAACTTGGACGTACTGATTCAAAATACAGACGAAAGACGGGATTTCTCTGTAATGACGGTGATAAGCCTTCAGGTCAACAAGAAATCCTATGAAGATCAGCTGCCTGCACACGACTTAACATAGGAGTTTCACGTGGTCAGCATCTAGAGCGTACAGCGTCCAATGGTAGGGTGGCAGATGAATGATGAACTGGAAAGGATTCAGAAGGAAGCGGGTGTGCCCTTATCAATGTACTATATACGTCCAGAGGTAGGGACTAGCTCTATCTATTGGGCCCACCTGAGTAGGTTCCTCCACCTGAAGACGGAGATAGAATTGTCTCCGAAACGTTATGTTTTAAATAAAAATAGGATGATGGATGTACCTTACACATACTTGCCTGGAGGGACTGAGGAAGGCTACGGAAACCTGCCAGGATAGCCGGTGTTGGGGTTGAAATTCCAACGAAACATTTCTCGAGTACAAATGTAGGGCACTGCCGCTACAATAACCTGTCTGGTTACCCCGAGAGAAGTGTACCTGGGCAGACGCTCTCTGGGCGGCAGGCTGACGTCACTGTGACTCGAGCCAGTTGAGCTCACTGAGTTAATGGAACGGGAACGCCGAGACTTGAACGAGTCCCCCAGATTGAAGATCCCGTTGGGCGTGATTGAGAAACTTCGGACGCGGTAGTACTCCTCCTGCTGGTAATCCATCTCCTCACAGCGTCGCAGCTGCCCCAACATCGGCTGCAAAACAAGAAAAGAGATCAGAAACCGCACTTCGCATTCGGGTGGTCCCGGATTCTTATATCGGTTCGGAGTCCGGCTATCCTTCCTGAGAGATGCCATCCTATATAGTGCGGGGATAGTATCTCCAAATAGGCCACAACCACTTCCACATGTTTCAAGTCATTATTCGGCAATCTCTGGACGCTATATAGCCTGAACTAAGAACAGCGTCGTTAAATAAATAAAAAACAAATGTTTGTGTCGCTTGTACAAGAATGTCACAACTTTCCTACTACAACCGGCTAGGTTGTGGGGACATGCAACTGGCCTAAGACCGGTCAGGTCGGTTTTTTTTTTTTTAGTTTCTTGGGGTGGGGTGAGACTGAGTCCACTTGGCAGCCACTAATTGGCCTATTGTACCAGCCCCAGCTGATAGATGATGAGTGTGGAGCAGTCGGTGGAATGCAGGGGAAACTAAAGTACTCGATGCAAACCTGTCCCAGTGCCATTTTCGTCATCAAAAATATCACGTGACCTGACCTGGTATCGAACCTGGGTCACCACGGTGAAAACCAGGCGAGTAACGGCACGGCCGTCAAGTACTTTGTGGTTTGGGATAGTAGCTAAAACAGGCCAAGAAGCACCGGCCAGGTTAGCGCTGCGCTAATGTAGGCCATGGCATTCTCCTCTGAAATCCTTGCAGTTCAATATTCGGCTTCTTCGATCTCAGTCAACGCCATAATAAGCTCTACAATAAAAATATCGTCGTTAAATAGGCGGAAATGAATCAATCGCGACAGTAATGTGTCCGCCATGACCTTATCCAAATGTGCGCAACAGCCCACCTCGTCAGGGTACCGGAGCGTTGCCATAGTAACGAGCCGCCTGCAGTTGTATAGCGAAACACTATTTACGCGCCCCTTACCTCGTTCCAGCAAGCCGATGTACAGGCTGGAGGACTGCGGCTCGGTTCCCAGAAGGGACTGGGACCTATCTCCAACCAGTCTTCAATCAGATGGGTTCAGAGAGTAAGGTGGCCGAGGCGTGACTCTGACCATATAACTGTAACTAGTAGCAAAGTCAGTAATGCGGGTCCTTTCTGCAGTTCACCTGCCAACTCTGTCAGTATCCCAGACAACGCAGCGTTGAGGGGTAGGATGAGAGATAAATAATGAATTGGAAGAGATTTGGAAGGAAGCGATTATGTACTTACTCTCCCGACATTTGCCTGAATGAAGGGTCCGAGAAAGACCACAAAAAAAAAACCCTAATCAGAATAACGGGTGTTCCAGTCCAGATTCGAACCAAGCACTTTCCACATACCGTGTGAACTTACATATCCACTCCCCCATACCCATTCATGGCAAGGTATTTCAATAAGCAAAAGATCAACTTGACTTTCTGGTGCGACAGAACACACTTTACGCCTGCAGCAAAGTTGCTGGGCTACATGCACAGCAGCAGAGCCGGAGAAGTTGCCTGCCTATCACGGCGAGCATCGCAAGTGCGAAAATACTTCGCCGTGGAGTCCAGGGCACCAAGCTAAGGGGATAGGTTATTAAAATACCAAAGCTTTACACGAACTGTTCTGAGTTCGAGTCCAGACAGTCGCGAACTGTATACATTTCTCGTTGAGTTGTGTAGATTGAAATGTGTTCCTGCTGTGAGCCTACGTCTCGGAACAGTTCTATTGTGACACTCTGTCTCAAGATGAACAGTCTTCCGAGATGTGACGTCACGTTGTCCGACAGATGTTTTCTTGTTTGGCTTACTCTTTGACCCTGAAGAGAGACGCAGTAAGTTCCCCCTAAAAATCTGTGAACTAGCGAACTACAAGGAGCACATCCCTGAAGACGGCATCCCTCACGGCAACCTCTGTGAGGCCCTCAGATCCAGGCTGTACTTCAACCCAACATGTTGCCGACACAACGCATTGTTATATCTTGTACTTGCCAATATTGTCATGTTCTAGGAAGTTGCATCGGCTGTTGAGGTTATATCGTATTTATTTCATTAATTTACATTTATCTAATGACGCCTTCAGTAGGTCAGATCAATACCCACTTATAGATAATCTGTTCGTAGTATGTTATAAATCGCCGCATGTTGACAGTGACATAGAGAATCAACATGGTGGCTATGCGAACGTTTACTGAAATTCAAGCAGCTGACACGATGACCAGGCAACAGGTGTCCCCGCCAAGTGCTACAGGCAGGGGAGTATGCAATTGCGGTGAGATGCTGAGACATTGAGGGGTGAACGTGACGTGGCTGACCAAGCAGCGTCAGGTCTCTCGACAAATGTCACGGCGAGAGGTCCTGTGTTCGAATCTCGGCCACATGCCACAGTTCCGTGGTTTCATCAGACTTTCCAACTGATTGATAACAAAGCCTGAAATGTACCATGATCGATTCGTTTCAAGTCATTTATAATTCTAAATCAGAGTTCCACCATCTTCCGCACGCCACGAAACTAATATGAATGGAAGAGAAACCCTCAATGTCTCCTCTTGTCTCTATAATAATTCTCATCAGTTGTGAAGCCCCTCCTGATGACAGAGTCGTGATAATTTGTCGGGCCTATCGCACTGGGACCAGTATCCTATCCTGAGACGCCGAAGGAAGCACGAGAGCTGGCGGGATGATGACTGACAGGCCGAACGCAATCACACGCCACATGCCCAACGCTGATCGCTCTGAAATACACCAACTCTCAGACTTACCTTTCCACCGTTTGGACTTCCGATTTCTTGGCCTCCCTGTGGCGGGATTAGTTCGCGCGTCACTCTTAATATTTTCTGCTACACATATCAAACGATATCATCGCCATTAGACGCTCGAATTGCATTCAATAGCAGCTGTAATGTGGGTTCAATGGGTTCTGTTCTCTTGATCAGTAAGACAGAACACGACAGCTTCAGCCTACGCGTCATGATGAGGCACTCGGCGAGGAAGGTATGGAACCTGTACACTTCTCGGAGTGGCCCGGTGGCTCCTATTCCAATGTTCCAGATTCAAATCTCGGCACGGCGACAGATTATCCTCGAGATTTTGAGCCGTATTCCTCAGTCCCTCCTCGTGATCGCTTCCATTCACATTCAGTACAACTCATTGTCTGTATATTTTGTCGCTGTTTAGGTCTAGTCTGAGGTCCTGAAAGCGCTGTTAAATTTGCTTGACTTCGTTGCTCTGTAACCAGGCAAGCGCTGAGTCACGAGACATATGTAAACATTCTCTTTACTGTATAACCATTTTGCTATCATACCAACTTATACGCCTAGTTCTCCAAAATTGTCATTTACTTTCATGTTTCAGGAATAATATTATCACGCGAGTGACTATATACGAGATTTGGATTGGTAATCAGATTAACTGAACACACGAAACTACAAACTACGACAGTCTCGCTGAATTACACACTCCAAAGATCACTGTGACTACGGCACACATAAAGTCTTTTCAGTCTTCACTAGCCGTTGCCGGGTAGCGGTTTCCAACGGCGGATGTTCCCCTTCCTGTAAGTTCCCGAACTGAATATTAAACTTCGTGGAAATCCGTTAATAGGTCGGGTATGTGTCATTCGGACGGACTGGCGCTATCTTCAAATTATGTGACAATCTTCAGAGATTTCTTAAAAATACGGCAAAAACTCTGCAGTGTTCTCTTGTGTAAGCAACTTTGACAATTAAACGAACTCTCTACTGAGATATGACACCGTACGGTTCGTTGAAAGTCAACCAAAATTTCGGTGGAATATGTCGCCTCCATATTCGGGGTCAACAATATGGCAAGCAGGAAACCAGCGTGAAGCAGGTATTCTTCGACCTCGAAGATTGTGACGACTCATTCCTCCGAAATGTTGGTTGACTCTTCATGAACAGCGCTGTGAGAACCTAAAATCCTGCAGTAGGAAAAATTCCCAAGCTAACTGGAGGCACTCCTCAATAACAAACTAGTTGTGGTCATTCGCTCTAGAGGATACGGTCAGTAACTCGCTTCACACGACGAGCTCGTGTGACAAGATCGAATGGAAAGGATCTAGAAGAAAATGATCCTGTGTGAAGATACACACAGAAAATGAGGAAAATCAGGAGACTTCGTGCACTTTTGTGGGCCGGGAAGGCCTGTAGCATTGGTCGTCTTCCTTAGAATTTTGTTAAGTTTCAAGATCTCGGCTTTTCCTTGAGAACCTGAGATTCGACAGCCTCGTGGAGTCATTAATTCTGGAATATGAGTTTCTTGAACCGGCGGTTTCGGGATCATTCATCGAGGGTCTGTCTCTCGTGCCGTCGAGGAATTAAGGTCGGGATTTCCCTGGGAAAGTCAGCTGATTGAAAATTGCAAAAATGTTGAGACCGCCTTGTTTTCGAAATGAACCAATGAAGGATTTCAAGGGAGGGAACTTGTGACGAAAGCTGGAGATCCTTAGGGGTCTGCAGTCTCAGAACGGGCAAGTTCCACGCGGAGTCCGTTCCCAGTCTCTTCACGTGGTAGGACGCAGAATCTGCGCCCTTCGGAATTACTGAGTTACCAATTACTTAACTATTCGGCCAACTAGGATACATTACTTAATAGTGATCAGTGTGAACCACGACAAACTATTTAGCCATTGTGACTTAATGGAAGCACATCACATTATTAAAGTGGATACTTGTAAACATAAATGTAACTATCAGCGCCAGTATACATGTATTAAATAATAAATTCTCTCTCTGACGCACGTTTGCGTGTGCAAGCAGATTCCTTCTGTCCCGCTAAGCCAGGCATCTTAAGACCTAGAGACCAGATCTCTTGCTCCACCGATCCCAGCCAGAGCTAGTCACCATCCTGCTCAACCTTACACGAAGAACTGTACAAATTCGTAGCCACCAGACCGGCGGTGTCTGCTGGTGCCCATCCATCCTTTTACATTCCCAGCCTGTCACTATGACAACCGCGAGAGAAGCGCGGGAAAAGAGATAAGGCCGGCAATTGTCGGCATCATTGTCCGAGGCAACGTCTACGGCGAAACAAGCCCAGGAAAGGCCGACTACAATTTCCACCATTTTTAACCTCGGCACAAGACGGACGCGAGTGGTCAGGTTGAAGTCCCTACCGCTTTTCCCCAAGCAAACGACATGAGAATCACTGCACTGGACGGTGAAGACCAAACACTGCAGGGGTCGTGGAATTGCTTCAACTGATTTCCATTCCACGGCTTTCTTGCCGTGACAATTACAAAGAATGGAATCTCGCGAACTGCATTTGTTTCCCCACAATTTTGCTTCGCAAGCAAACACAACTGCTGGTGTCCTGACGAGATATATGCCGATCAACAGATCTCGGACGGCTTACTGTGGACGTGACCTAATACCCGTATCGGCGGGAACCACGAAAAGATATGCGACAAATGTGCAGAAACTGAAGCTCGGACTTCAGGATAATTCGTTCAGAGGAGCGACAGAAACACAGTTCTCTTACGCCGTACATTTAGAGCAAAGAAGACAAGGAAATAACGTATAATACCGAATGTCAAGCCCTTGGCAAAGTGGGTTGGATACAGCTGGCTACGAATCTATTTCCCGACGTAACATAATATCGATTCGTATGATGACGAAAGATAAATTGGGAAGGATTTGTAAGGAACCAATCATGGCTTTATCGAGGTACTATCCCAGCACGTGCCGGTGTCCTGGTAGGGATCCGATCGCAGCACCCTCTCTGTCCCAACCCGCTCGCTGGCCCAGGGCCGTAATAATTTCGAGCAGCCCAGCACCACCAGGAGACGAATATCCGTTCTCAGTTCTGCGATAGTACCTTGAAAGCAGCCACGGCCATTTCCTTCTCAATCTGTTCCACCATCTTACTAGACTCTGAATAACGTGCCCAGGATGATCTTGGAGAGCAACCAGCAGCGTCAGACAGAGGCAGTCCCGGCTGCTGCCGGGACACGTGTGAGTGCAACAGGGGCACAAGCGACAGTTTGTCGTCATTTCATTCGCACACCGCCATAGATGCCACGACGTCTCCTTCCAGATCCCTGCCAGTAATCCTGAGCTTCCTCACAGCACTACGTAATTTTTTTGGGTGAATGCCAAGTTATTGCGATGTGACGGGTGTGGTTTGACATGTGCCAACGTTTCGTAGGCACTTGCTGTCTCCATCTTCAGAGTACAGAACTTGTTCCAAGTGAATATGGAGGCAGAAAGCTCCTCCGACACCTCGGCCCATGTACTATATTACTTACACATATCGGATATTGTCCATTGTTTGGGGTACACTTTGCGTAGACGTTTCGGAACCCGGTTCCGTTTCCGTCATCAGGCGGGCAGTTACAAATGGTTAGTCTGGATCACTGGATCCACTAAACTACACGGCGTCAGAACACTCACCCTGTTTCGGGGAACAGCCGGCATGGAAGCAGTCCGAGCCCGATAGCCGCTGCTGCCACCTAGCGAGGCAGTTTGTCGCCCTCCGCGGGGAGATACGGACCTGGGCGATATGTGGCCCCAGGGCCGCTGGTGCTCCACCATGAGCGGTGCTTGACGAGCTACTGCAATGGATGAGGAGCGACGTCGCGGCACAGAGGGCGACACCGGCGTTGTGACTCTCCGACTATGGTATTCGGAGGACCTCCTGCGGAAGGAGCGTATGTGGTGCTGCGTGTGGGGGATCAGCTTGTCCTCCAGCATGGCGACGGTCATCTCTTCACTGTCATCGCCCTCACTGATACGGGAGATGAAGTCGGTGAGCCCTGGTCTGACACAGGCCGCTGTCATGGCAACTGCTGCGACCCGCCGGCCGCACTTCACATATATCGCGGAGCGGGCCCGCGCGCGCATGGCTGCCGGTTGTCATGGCAACGGCTCGCATTGTTACGGACAGGAGCGGGCAAGTGCATTTACTGAGAAAAATCACAAAATCGACAAGAACATATTAAATGCATTCTACAGCCGCTGATGCAGATTTCGAAACAATTCTTCTTCAGAGATGAAAGATAAAGACTGACACTGTCTCGCTATTAGGCGTTCATTTTAAATGCGCTGTGTAAGGAAGAAATACAAGTGAACTTAAATTAACTTGTACTTGCTGCGTACCACATGCAGTCGCCCAGTACAGCTGCTCTGCCAGTCGCCAGACTTCCCGGCAGAACGGTCACGAATCCTGGCTGGCTGTTCGGGAGGTCCCTCAGAGGCCGACTATCGTGCCTGATGTGTTTCCTAGTTTTCTGCAGTCTCTCTCCAGCTAAATGTCGGGGTAGAACCCTACACTGGCTGCTGCCGCTTCCTTTCACATCCTTTCCTATTCGTCATTCACTAATCAACCTATCATTCCACGCCATTTAGTCGGGGCTGCTGACAGCGCCGCTATACGTTCACCAAACGAACCATGCCCAAAGAACAGGACGAGCGGTGTGAACCCGAGACTTCACAGGGTAACCACATTTCATCTGAGGGCGAAGACCGTGGTTCGAGCTCCGAATTTCTCTCTTTACTACTCTCACGTCATATCCCGTGGATACTGCGGGGGAAAGTACACCTGTACCTCCTCGCCACCCCCGCTCCATAACTTTTTTCGGTGTGTGTCCCTTATACAGCAGAAAGTGGCGGAACTCTGCAAAAAACACATCAGGAATCGGGGACAAGCGCGGCGTTTGACGTCATTGTGGGGCGCAAAGATCAATGAACTCCACGTGGCATGCATCCTGTGACGTCATTATACATGTGTGATCCGAGCGACAGCCCCTGCATTAATATCTCCTGGCGGCGCGGTCGTGTTACTTGCCTAAGGTGACAGGCGCAGCCTGACACACTTCCCAAGATCCTCTCCGGTGAGAAGAATCCAGATATTACTGAACTAAACTTTCGTATATTATGTATGTATTATGAGAGGGGGTGGGTTTCCCCATGCACTTAGACCAGTTATTGGTCCATTGTGCGTCCCCCTTTCAATTTCTACTGTCGCCATACCCTACCGGTAACGGTGCGTGCCATCAGCCCCCGTAGAGCCAACGAGGTCGGCCCCCGGTACCTTGATGCTTCCCCCATCCACCAGAGGCATTGGAGACTACTTGGGCGGGAAAGAACCTGTAATTTAGCTCAGAGGTCTCCTAGAGAAATGAGGTTCTTTTACGTGCCGTAAATCTACGACACGGGACACACGGCTTAAAGTCCCTCCCGGAGGACTTGTTCCCTGAATTTTTCCGCCCTTAAAAATTCCACGACCTCCGCCGGGTTTGAACCCGCGTACCTTGAGTCATGAGGTGGGAACGTTACCCCTAGACTACGGAGGCCGCTTTCGTACATTATGTAAGTTGCCTTCTTAAATGCAGCGCTTGTTTTCTGCCTCACATACATCTTCCCTTAATACGAGTACAAGTGCCTCCCCTCACACAACTACATTATTACTCGTTCGTACAGAGTATTATTGTTTATATGCTGCTGAGGTGCCGACAGCTCAGGCTACATAGAGCATCGAACTGTGGCTTGTTTACTGAATGATGAATTGGAAGGGGCGTGGAAGGAGGCGGCAGCAGCCAGTGTAGGGTTCTATCCCGACATTTGGTTGGAGAGAGGCTGGAGAAAACTAAGAAACACATCAGAAGCGACAGTTGGTCACTGCGCAAAGATCTGAACCATGAAGTAGAAGCGTCAGCCAACCACCTGCATCAACAGTTCATCAACAGCGGCGCACTTTGGCAGCCGTCTGTTCCAGTGCTGTGAGGCCACAACCGGGCGGCTTTAAGGTAATTATAGACATGTTACAGTTCTCAGCTGCAAATTAGTCTTATGATTCTTCGCAATCGTTGAAAACGCCACGTCAGCGGTATTTCCTTTTCTGAATACATTCTCATCTACATGTTTCGCCAATCAGAACGCCGCCAAATAAGGCAAATGATCTGACACCGTATGCAGTCTGCAAACCGGCAACATCTAGAAAGACATACATAACTGCTTCTATGGGATGTTTAACCAATTGTTCTGTTGTACCAAGATGGAATTCGTCCGTATTCCTGAGAGGGCATGCTCACTGCACGCAGAATGTCTAATTGCATACCACAGATGGGGACAAACTGAAGAGTTGATATCAATGGGAAATGCATGGACCAAGGAGATCTGCTGCCTAGTTATGAAATGAAAATATTGCTGATAATACCCGATACAAGATACAAGAAAATCAGCTATTGTTAGCATGATGAAACCAAGGGCGGGGCTAATAACAACCACGGAGGAGGTGAGAGGTGCAGGGCTTCTAGCACGAACGGAAGAGACGAGAAATGCGCTCAAATTCATAGCCGGAAAACCCGTAAGGGAAAAGGCCACTTGGGAGACCTAGACGTAAATGAGAGTATAATATTAAAATGGATATTAATCAGAATGTGGACTGGATTCATTTGACCCAGGATGGGGACCAATGACGAGCTCTTGTGAACACGGTGATGGACATTCAGGTTCATTTGACCAGCTGAACTACCATTATCTTATTGACTTACTTAATACCATTATGACGTGTATGACAGTAACTTTTATTTCGTCACAAGAGCAGAGCAGAAAGCAAAAGGTTGCGGTGTTGGCAGAGAACTTCATACACGTGTGGGGTCTGACGTCACTTCACGTGGAGACCGTCAGGCGCTACGAAACAAGGACCCCCCCCCCCTTCACTTGCCAGTATGAAGCAGGTTTGAGTTGTCCTACATAGGACATATATTATGTTATACCAATATGACTTATATATACGTGTACTATTTCGAATGAGCGATATTCTATTAACTGCGCCGCTGGGGCCGCATGGTGATCGATGTATGAATTAAGCCATTAACCCCGCTTATGGTCGCCAGGAACATTCCCTCCTTAGCTTCTCCCTGTATCGCAGTTACACTCTTTACCGTAGAGGCCTACCTGCTGCATTTACAGCAGTTTACATACTTCCATCCTTCTGAGGTGGATCGTAATTTGATTGGACACCCCTGCCTTCTCTCGGAGTACCCTAAAATGTCAGAAGGGTAGGGCAGGGCGGGGCACATGCTGAAGGACATAGGAATGTAAGGACTTGAGGCTCCCACAGCGGTGGCTAGGAGGTGCACTATATTAAGGGATACAACGCCGTGTAGTCCATTCCACCCTGAGGCGACATGTTCACTTTCAACGGAAGACACAGGTCGGACGGCCGCAAGTTCATGCTGAGATGAAGAAACGGCATAACAAAACACGAGTCATTGCAATATTGCTAGTGTGTTGCCAGTGTCTGCAACTATGCAGCCTCGAATTGTGGGGTGATTGGTGAATAAACTGGAAGTGGTCGTGGCCTACTCGACGTATCACCCGGCATTCTCTTGGAGGGAGTTATGAGGGCCGACACTCGAAAAGAACAAGTCTCGAGCATTAGCGCTAAGCCACCCTACCCCTTTAAAAATACAGGAAATAAATTTTTATAAAAAATAAAAATGATTTGATTTCTGGAATTCGCGGGAATTCCGACTGCTCGTTCCCGAATCCCGAAGACTAACATCTGACGGGAATTTGGAAACACTAGGCACAGGCTTCTCAACGGCTTCTTGTTTCGCATTCTGTTAGCTTGACCCACGCTGGTACTGGCACACAGGCTGCTGGAACTCGAGGAGCGTCGTGACGCAGCCCCGTGGGTTCAACGCCGAGAAGCTGCGCTGTGTCGTTAAGTGCTTGATCGCAAGTATGGATCGATTACTACGTCAGTCCGTCAGTCACCGCTTAAATATTAAAATAAAAGGTGAATTTGTTCCTGTGTGTAACTACGCACCACTCACTCCATGAACACGTATGGGGCAGAGGAGATAGAGCTCCACGCATTCTTAATCTCAGCGATAGAGGCTAGTGGTCAGTTTCACGGTCCGTCCGCTTTACCCTAAAGGAGAGATTCCCCGGTAACAAATAACTAGGAAACGGGGTGAACCCAGAGCCAATGTCGACAAGTAAAAAACAATCTCATGTCCCTGCTGCTGGGAACTGAGCCCCCAGTCCTCTCTATTCTGGCCCGTGTCCTAATCACTATAGTGACTGAGCTACCTCGCTTCCATCTCGTGCTCACGCACAGCGACAATTCTGAAGACGAGAGCAACAGTTCTTTTTCCATCCTTCCTGTCATGCAAGACCTACACGCCTATAGCACCGCGGGGAAAAAATAACGTAATTACATGCACAACTACATGGCGTCACATCCCAGAATCCCATATTTGCAACTCGTGATTTTCCGCAATTCTCATCAGATGGCAGGAAGCATCGCGAAATAAGTTCTCCTCTCTTCCTTATCGGAATTTCGTTGTTTCATTCGCAGCGTCGCTCACAGATGGCAGAACGCACGGGAAATGTAACTGCGCAATCTTCTCAAGTTATGGCAAAATGTAACTACAGTAACAAACACAAAAAAATGAACTGAAGAACGCAAGCTTATAGCGTCTGAAATACAGTGTCACCGGATTTACTGAGAATTGCTCGTGACGCCAAGAGGCATTCCAAAGGACAATACAGGCTATATTTTGCCAATGCAGTCTACCTCAGCGGCCTCGCCGTTAGTGTATATTACATTCCAGGAAAATGGTGCATTGCGTTTCGTGAAATGTTCCTATTTTGGAGGGGGTAGACTATGTGGCGTCGAATGGAGAGATAACTGATGAAATGGAAACAAATTCGGAACGAGGAGGTTATGTTCCAGTCGAGGTAGTAGCCCGGGATATCCCCGCAGAAAGAGAAAAATGCGACAGACCTCAGTCAGGCTACTAGATATTCTGGCCGAGGTTCGAAAGGAGTACCTCCCAAGTGTCGCCGCTGTGCGATCCTCCTCGGTAAACACTCTTACAATCGATCCGGACACTGCGGAAGGAAGAATGGTACAGTCTGTACAGATTGCTATGCTCACTCTAAAGGAGTAACTGAACTAACGTTTCTTTGAGATTTCTGACACGTCAGAAGCCCACATTTTCTTTTCATTTCTCTCTCGCTCCAGAAAATAGTTAACAATTGTTTTCTTGAAACAGTATAACCTCCTACAAGGATTCCGAACTGTGTTTCTTTTACCCCATTAACCAATTCAGCTACATTCTGAGCTGTAAAGGGTGCACAGCTCGACGTCCCTGCTGACACCACATCTACCCTTGGGACATATAAGTGTGACTCAAACGGTGTTCCTTCTAAGTCACCCCTCACGCTCAGATTCGATCTAGAATNACAAACGATCCGGACACTGGGGAAGGAAGAATGGTACAGTCTGTACAGATTGCTATGCTCACTCTAAAGGAGTAACTGAACTAATGTTTCTTTGAGATTTCTGACACGTCAGAAGCCCACATTTTCTTTCCATTTCTCTCTCGCTCCAGAAAATAGTTAACAACTGCTCTCTTGAAACAGTATAACCTCCTACCAGGATTCCGAACTGTGTTCCTTTTACCCCATTAACCAATTAAGCTACATTCTGAGCTGTAAAGGGTGCAGAGCTCGACGTCCCTGCTGACACCACGACATCTACCCTTGGGACATATAAGTGTGACTCAAACGTTGTTGCTTCTAAGCCACCCATCACGCTCAGATTCGATCTAGAACGATCTAGAAGGCCAGAGGCAAACGATAGCATTATGGAGGGCAGTTTCGTTCCACCATTGGCACGAAATATTTAAGAAACGTCTCAAGGAAAACTAAACTGGTGATGTGCAAGACCAGTATTAACATATGCCTCTGATGCCTGGGCGCTATCTAAGGCAGATGAAAGGTCTATCTGAAAGAAGAGTTCTCAGATGCATCTGTGGAGCCGTGCAGGATAAGGGTGAACGGAGGAAGAGATATAATCGCGAATTGTATAACTTATTTAATGAGCCAGATATTACTAAATATATAGAAATAAACTGATTAAGCTGGGCTGTATGGAAAAGAGTAGGACGGTGAAGAGTGTGTTTGGTACCAGACCTGAAGGGACTAGGAAAATTGGAGGGGAGGATGGCGTGACCAGTGAAGAACTGGAGGACTGTCTGAAGCCTCTGAAGAAGACCACGGTCCACATGATTGCCACGACATCAGGTTACGTTCCAAGCGTTGTTCTGTGACCGACTAAGCGACAGCACGCGCGCAAGGTACCATGACCGTGTCACATTCCGACTATAACAGATTATAATTGCATAAAGCGACAAACTGCAGGAAGGAAACAACAGCTTAGGCTGACAAGCCTCTTGACAAGAGAACACTTGGTAGAACAAGACGTAGATCTGAGGATAATACTAAAGCGTGTTTCACATAATTTTTTTAAACGTGTGAACTAATTGATGAAGAGTAGTCTACTCTCCGGCCTCAGTACCATGTAGATGTGCAGTCTTCCGACGTTTCAGAGGAACATGCCTCCACCTTCAAGGCCGGAGTTGGCTGGATGAGTGTTCGTGTACATGTGGGGTTTCGTCCAAGAGAAATGGAGGGGAAAGAGGCGGATGGTGGGCGCCCCTCCCGGGCCACAAGGGACAGTACACAGACAAAAGTAATAACGCTTCTAACTACGAACCTGAAGACTGGTCCAGTATTTACGCCCGAAACGTAAGGAATACTGCTCACATCTGCGGGGATTCAAGAGAAGTACCGATGTGAACCTCCGCTGCCAAGTTTCCTCGTCTTGGTTCCACTGCCCCTCCCTCCACCCCTTGAGCATAGATAGTGGCCTCGAGGAATGCCCGAACCCACGGGCCTGGAGAAGCAATCCAGGGACCTCCCATGCGCCCGGCATTGATCGAGCGGCAGATGTTCGGGCCGGACCGCCCTGTGCTCCGCGTCAGTCAATTGTTGTGCTTCCACTGCCGGTGCAGCTACGGATTCATGTGTCTGCGAAACGTAAGGCGTGCGTTTGTTTGCATGGAGAGTAAATGTGTGGCGTAATTTATGTAGCAACAGTTTACACAGCTGACTTTACGTTTGTGCTTCCCGATACGGTGTCGTCACGTGAGGCTCTGTGTGTTTCCGACACGGTGTCGTCACGTGAGGCTGTTTCCGATACGGTGTCGTCACGTGAGGCTCTGTGTGTTTCCGATACGGTGTCGTCACGTGAGGCTCTGTGTGTTTCAGCAAGGTGCTTTGTTCACGATTGCGTCGCGGGGAAACGAGCAATAACGCTGACAGGCATGATCATTCGACACTATGTATTCTGAGCTAAATATGTCAAAACATGTAAAATAGTTCCAAGACATTCGCGAGGTCCCGCATTCGAATCCCGGTAAGGCGCACATTACCTGAAAGTGAAGTTGTTGATTCTTTGTTCTTCGAGGGGTATGATCTTAAACAGGCCACGGTAGCGCTCCTACACATCACTCATTCGGGATTCATAATTCCCGTCACACAAGCCCAGCATTTGATGTAGGTTACGAAACAACCCCTGTGGAATTATAACCAGCAGAAGCACCCGGACGCGTCCCTTAAATTCAAGGTGAAGAAGTGAGGTTAAATCTGCCAACAATTTGTTACGAAGTAGTAGCATGCAATGATGCTGCCAGCCACAGGAGGAACTGGAGAGTGCGAGCGCCTGCGCGCGCACACACTAATTTCATTTAAATGTTGATAAGCTTCCCCTGCCTTCTCCCTTCTTCCTTGCTGCTCCTGCACGTTACCGAAGGAAGCGTCGAGGCCGATATCTAATACCACTCTGTCCCCCCCCCCAGAATAATAAGCATAAATGGTCAGTCATAAAGCGCCTCTTTTGTACTACAGTATACTACACCTCAGATATCCACATCATAGAAATTCATCGACGTTTCGGAGGGCACACTGACTCCATGACAGAGTAAGCCAGACAAGTAGCCAGCAAGACGTAGGAGACAGCATTCTGTGTGTCGCGTGCTCCTGTGTCCGCCTTTCAACTGAAGGGAAACAAGCCTGCAACCCCGTGCTGTGCCCCCCAACCCACTGATTGGACTTCATACGGTCGGCGGGGCGGGAACTCGCATTAGTTATTAACATAATATTAAAATGAGAGTAATTGTGTTTTTGCTGAGGTGGCAGTCGGGTTTAGACGAAATTGCCAGTGAGGTGCAACATGTCGGAGCCGCGATAGCTCATTCGACACAGCGACGGGCTGGCCGGCCGGCCGGGGTCCGGTTTCCAGCAGAGGCAACAATTTTATATTCCTCATACGCCCAGACGGGCCCTGGGGCCCACCCAGCCTCCTGTCAAATGAGTAGCGGGGTCCGTTTCCCCGGGGTAAACCGGCAGGGGCGTGAAGCTTGCTTCTCACCACCGTCCACCATTATGGATGAACTAGGACTGGAGCAGTCGCAGTCTTCTTCAGCGCTTTCCCAGCATCTGTGGCTCTGTGTACAAAGGGGTGCACTAATGACAATACGTGCTGCCTACTTCTTTCCTGTGAGGTACGAACTAACGTTTATATATTACGTATTTAGAAGAAATTCAGTATTTATGGGGTTAAGCGCCTGTCACAGTAGCCGCGCGGTCTAAGGCATGAACTGGCTTCACTCCCTCGGACGCTGGGATCGTGGGTTCGAATCCCACTAAAGGCATGGATATTCGGTGTGTGTATGCGTTTATTCTGTGTTTAGGTAGAGGCCTTGCGACGAGCTGACCACTAGTCCAAGGAGTCCTACCGTCTGTGAAAAATCATTACGGAACTGAATAAGAGTGGTACCTAATACTTCCCCATCTACCGGAGGCATTGGAAACTACTTGGGCGAGAAACTTTTTGCCAGATTTAGCTCAGAGGTCTCCTAGAGACATGAGGTTCTTTTACGTGCCGTAAATATACGACACGGGACCCACGGCTTAAAGTCCCTCCCGGAGGACTTGTTCCCGAATTTTACCGCCCTTAAAAATTCCACGACATCCGCCGGGTTTGAACCCGCGTACCTTGAGTCATGGGGTGGGAACTGGGGCCGCTGGACCCTGCCATAACTCAGGCGGCTATTCCTCTGCTTCCCGCCAAGGAGGCTTGGGTTCGGTCCCATGTCACGTTGTGAGATTTGTGGTAGACAAAATGGCACTGGGTCAGATTTTCCCGAGTTCTTCAGTTTCCCCTAGCAATTATCAGTTCAACGATTGGTCCATATTCATTAATCATCCAATCATGAATGGAGGTGAGTGGTGAGCTTCACGGTCCGGCCTGTTTAACCTCGGGATATACATTGGATAGGACGCGGTGTGGGGCCCAGATCCGGTCTAGACGCCATTACCTCCGGGAACAGAAGCCAGACTCTCACTCTGGTAATTATACTGACTCAGCTACACCGGCTGCTGGCGCTGTTACTTTAGAACGCTGTCAGCAGCTGGACGGCGGCTGTATGATTGAGATGCAAACGGTCGTCACTCAGTCGACGCACTATAACGACATTTTCCACGGTGACCAGACGGGGGATTGGAACCGAGCACCTCCCGCTAGAGCATCTCGCACAAGACGTGATGGGTTTGGAAGCATCCCTTTATTTCGGACACAACAGAAGTCGTTTCATTCGTTTCCAACTTCCACATGTACATTGTTATATAAAGAAATTATATAGACATAAGCAGAAGCCTTACAACATGTTCCCAATATTGGACGAGGCGAACCCCGACACGGAAATATAACAGGCCTAAAATTTGGTGAAGTCAAGCATACGACCCTTCAAGTGACTAGTCTGCCGCTGTACTTAAGATAGGGTATGATCTGCTGTCCTCGCCCTGGACTGACAGAAGGCCTTGTATGTATTGTATATACATATGCATTGTGCCTTACCCTGTAATAACATGTAAACTGTAAATACTGGGTTCATATTGATAACTGACTTATTACTGTCATGATTTGACAAATGACAAACCCGGCCCCTTGTCAGAGAGGGCACCTCACGTGGACAAAACCAATATCTGCTCATGTGCCTCCAGTGGGGCTCCAGACCATCAGACGCAACGTGTCTTTAACTTGATACGGGCTTCAGGTCCGTGTCGAGGGGCTCTAGGCAGCTGTCTGGGTTCTGGTCGCACCACTGGGGCCACAGCGCATCTGCCCTGATTCCTCGCGACACCAGTCGCTTCCTCTGCACTGCCAGCCTGCCGTGCGCGTCCCTCAGGATTAGATCGTCCAGGTCAGGGTCGGCCCACATCCGTTCGCCAAACGCTGCGGCTCGAGGCCACAGCTTCGCGTCCAGCGAGTGTTCATCCACCATCTCACTCCACAGACACGCCTCTCCTCCCAAAACGAGGGCGCGCGGCTCGAGCTCGGTCCAGGGCCGATGCTGGTACACTGTTTGCCAGGACACCACCGGGTTGCAGGCGCCGCGCCAGTCGCCGAACCCGCAGTCGAGGTACCAGGCGTCAACATGTGATAAAATAACGCGGAACCCGGCCTGAAGTACTGCGGGAGCCTCGCCCCAGCCGCTAGCACCCCAGGTCTGTATGACATACACCCGGGGGTCGAGATACAGGTGCGCGTAGGGTGGGCGAGTTATCTGACTGGACCAGACCACCACGGCGGCGGGGACAGTGCCCCCCATGGCGACCTCCAGGACCTGCAGGGCCCGCTGCTGGAACTCTCCCCACTTGGCCATCAGCTCCTGGTGGCCGACTGGCCCGCTCAACTCGCTCGCCCAACAGTGCAGGTTGACCTCGTCACCCCCCAGGTGGAACATATCCGTTACATTCGTGAGCTCCACCAGGTCCCTGTACAGGGCGCCCAACACGGCGTACGTCTGTTTGTTGTCAGGGTTCAGCTGTCCGCAGGGAGGTTCACCGCAGTACAGGTCCCAGGGCTGCCTGTTCACGCACACACTGAGGTTGGGCCCCCACTGCCAGCCGTTGCCCGCGTGCGCAGGCGCATCCACCTCCATCAGCACACGCACTCCGCGCACGCGCGCGTAAGCCACGAGCCCAGCCACGTCGCGCGCGCTGTACACCTGCTCCGGCGAGTACGCCCCGTAGCGCGACATGTTTGGTATCCTGGGTGAGTCGAAAGGGAAGCTGTGTGAGTCCGAGACGTGCCAGTGCAGCGCGTTCAGTTTGCAGGCGGCCAGGCCGTCCACTGTAGCACGCAATGCGCCTATAGGCAGGAAGTTACGTGCTGTGTCCAACAGCACACCACGGTGAGCAAACCGGGGCGCGTCCCGAATGTGGGCACGCGTGAGGACGCGCAAGGACGTGTCATCCCACCACACCAGTTGCGAAAGCGTCTCCAGGCCGTGCCGAACGCCGAAGAATGACTGCGCACGAACCTCGGCTCGAAGCTTCGACCCGCCTGCGCGGCACACCTCCAGTTGGTAGCTCTCGTTGGTGCTGAGTGTCAGCAGGGGGTCGCGGTCTTCACTCTCAACCTGCACACTCACCATGAAGTCGCTCAGTCTGCCTTTGTCGGGTTCCTCGGAGCATGAATCTGGCACCAGGGCCTCCAAGTTCCCGCGAAACACTGCGAAGGCTTGTTCGAGCAGGGCTCGAATCTGGACACTGTGTACTTCGATCCGCAATGCCTGCAGACAGAAAGGGGCAGACTGGGACCCAAGGTCCGAAACCTCAGTCGGGCGTGGCCACAGAGGGGCAGTGCCGCATTGCATTCGGCAGGTGGCAAGCGATGTGCGGGCACCCCTCTGCTCTCGGCGCACACACTGCTCGCTCTCGCATTCCCAGCTCCACAGGTCGTCCACTGCCCAGCGTCTGGCATGAGAAAGAGCAGTTAAATTCTAGAAACGGGAACCTCCATCACCAATTAAAGAAATGGTTTTGGAGAACTATCGGCGGCTCAGGAACAACCCTGAACCGCGGAGTGCGCTCTCTGCTGAGGGGAATGTCACAACCAGTTACCTCGGCAAGTTGATCCTGAGGGCGGGCTGCAGGTCCTCGAGTCGACCCCAGTACAGTACGGCGATCAGCACCACAGTGAACACTGTCAGGGCGACCAACACCTTGCGCAGCCGCTCAGCACTGACCGACAAGCACATCTGTAGCAGACGGCAAATGTGTCAGGGGACACTGAGCAACACTTACGGTGGTGCACACTTAATAGGTTTAGAATTATACTAGTGACATTCTGGAACCGGCCAAAAGGTGTAGCTGCTGCGGTTTAGACTCGTATTCCGAAGGTGTTACTCCGACTGAGGCTTGTCATGGTTTTCTTCAGTCTCTCCAGACAAATTCTGGGACAGTACCCTGACTAAGCTTATGACACTTCTTTCCAGAAGCTTTCCAAATCATCATTCGCCAATTATGCCAAAATCCGAAGCTAAGTAACCCAGATATTCCCAGCGTCGTAAGTAACCGACAAGCTTGAAATCGGCGAATTCTGTGAAGACATTATGCAGGATATAACGCTTGTGTTATATAGAAAGCCGTGTCCACAATTTCCTTTCAGTAATTTGCCCAAATTAAATTTAGGTTGTAAGCCCAAAATGAATATTTAGGTCTTCAAATGATGTTAAAAATGTGTTAACGTGACACAGAAATACATCAGAAGTATAAATGCAGGCTCGATATGAAGTGGCCCTTAAAACTATCATGCTAAACCAAAATTAAAATGGACTGTCGTGAGTTACTGTAGCTTCGCAATACACAGTTTGGTTGAAATCAGCAGCTGCACTGACAGATATGACGAAACAATTAACTTATCCCTGCAACAAGCCCGCTGAAATTTCAACGGAAAATTGCTGAAACACATTTTACCAAAAATACCTGACCTCAATAACCTGAAAATGTTTATAAAGTCATTCAAATTTATACTAAAACACTAAACATGACAGATTGGCAAAATGTTCTAAGAGGTGTTATAACCTAGAGGAAGATATTTTGGCAAAGGTGGACACTGCAACATTGACCCATATATATTGTTCATTTTATGTGCGAATATTTTTGCTGGCATGTCGTCAACCTGTCTTGCATGATGTTATTCTTGTTGGCAGAGTGGCGCCACCATGTTGCAGCGGGTGTACGAACGGCGGCATGGACGTCGTGGTGGCGCTCTTGTGAGTCTATACATTAGAATACAGCCCATGGAAGGTGCAAGGACTCCGAGCACAGAGTTGAGATAGGAACACCGCAGGCTCACTGACTTACAAGATGCATTAATACTCTCACAACAAGTCACAAAACGGCCTACTCGAGTATCTGATGGCCATCGTATCGAACTCATCATGTATATGGTTCTGTAATGTACAACATGCATCTCGTTCGGTCCAGCCTCTTTCCGGTTTTCCCAGTAAATGTTCTGCTGTGTGTTTCCTACTGCGGACCAAACAGAGAACACCCAAAGACAGTATATGACATTTATACTCTGTACTCTTGCCAGTATGCATGGGAACCATGGCAGTTATGAGGTGTGCAAGTATAGTTATAGAGTTTCTGGATGCTATTAGAATCCTCATTACCATCTTTTTTTCTATAATTAGATATGTGAACTTTAATCTGTTAATTTGAGTGTCATTCCTTCTTTAAAGACATTCGGTTTTATACAACCTGACAGAAATGTTACGGTTTACAAACCCGAAGGATAAGTATAGCCATAAAGTCGCCACGCCCTGTATAAACTGCCTGCTAATGTTTATGTCTGAAATACACGTACATAGGCCCGAAGTCACGCGATCCTGTCTATATAGGCCACGCCCCGTGTGTTGACGTCACGTTTCGGAGTTGCGTGATCGTGTTACGTGACCGTGCTGCACCTTCAGTTAATTCCAAGCAACCAGAGCGCTGCCTAGTCGGTTACTATGTGTCGATGTCCTCATACCTGTCTGCAATACTCACTCACAGTGCTACAACCGTCTCCCGCTGTTCCGTGTAAGTGTGTGAACCAGTCATGAAGATTTTATTCTCATATCTGCTTCAACCCGTGGTGATACGAATAAGTGACAATGTGGGACAAGTGTAATCATATGCCATGTCCATGAAACGTCTGGCGGTGCTCGCCGCGACGCATTCCGATGGCTATGTCATCAACAATAACATGACGTCAATCTCCGGGGCCCAAGCCGGCCCCTCGTTACATGGCAACGTCAACATTTTGCTCAGTGGGTGAGTTCCATCAGACCGGCAATGCCGCGACAGGGGAACATACAGGGCCATGAAACTGGCGGGAAGGAATGCACCCAACCGACTGTTACATTGCCACGTAGATTTCCAATTCAGATTTATTGATATGAATTAGGTGGTCGTTTCTGAACGCGTCCTTGGGCCTTCAAATCGTCTGGCATAGGGGAAGGGACAAACATGGACCCCTTCCCCAAAAAGTAATATCAGACCATAACGAAGTAATAATTTTAATTAACTCCAGGCAGAGGCCGTCTGCCCAAACAAGGACGATGTTATTCACGGAACGCCCTGCCCGTTGCTGGCGCCTACCGGGCCGTTTGTCTCTGGTGCTCTCAAGAGTTTAGGCAGAATATGACGTGTGATTGCATTCGAAAGGAACTTTAGTATTCAGATATAATATCAGTATCACTAAATATTGTTGAAGGGCTCTTATGAACACGGTAATGAGCCTTCGGGTTCCATAAAATTTGAAATTCTTGAGTAGCTGCGCAACTGGCAGTTTAAGTCAGTCCTTACATGTTCAGGGACACCCGACAGTGCCGAGAAACAGCCACTGCACGAGGATTGTCGTCGTTCCGCCTCAAGAATAGAAGCTTTACATTCCAACAAATCACGGTGGATGAGTCCGGTTCAAACCTCAGCCCGAAAACCGGCAATCCTGACATGGATTTTCTTCGCAGTTTTCCTCAGTCCCTGAAGGAAAATAAATGCCAGGACAGTACCTCAAATTAGAACCCGACCGCCCCCTTCCACACAATTTTCAGTTCATTCAACGCTGTACAGTCTGAGCGATAAATAAATCACAAATAAAGAGAATCCAAGAAATCACATCAAAATGACGAAATATGACGTGGCAAGTCCAGCTCTACGTAGTGGTGGGAGGACGACAAGGTTCTTGTTCGTTCGCTGTCGGTGGCAGATCGGGTCCGTTGCAGGCTGTGTACCGCTGTGTACTTCTCATTTGGCTTACTTTTCGGTCCTGTCAGTACCTGAGCTACAAGTGCATAGCGTCTAGTGGTAGAATGAAAAATTAATTGGAAAGGATTCGAAAAGAAGCGACCGTGGCCTATTACAGATACTGCCGCAACATTTGCCTGGAGAGACCGGGGAAATTTATACCAAAATCTAAGACACCCAGCGTCCCTGTCGAGATTCGAACCGAGCATGTTCGGAATACGAGTCTCAAGCGTTACTGTTTACGATTCGTGTTGCAAGAAGCCCTCCAGGCCTGCAGTCAGCCTCGGGACAGTATCTGCCTGGGCCGTATCGATTGTTCGCAACATAAGCGTGCCTGACAGACTTTTGTTGACCTGGTTACGAACCTCCAGGCTCCATGATACTAACCGTGCGAGTTCGTTCGCATGGTGACACTTCTGACTTGTATCTGGGCGGTGCCCAGTTCGAATCTCTTCTGAAACACCGACTATAGTAAATTTTTCATGGTTTTCCTCCGTCCAGGATAGCACACTCAGCTAAACCACGGCAGACTCTTTCGAATTCAGCCTTCAGCAAACTTACACGGGTATGCTGAGATACTAATAGCCTAATTACATAAACCGCAGGCATGAATCCAGAATAGCAGTCATTCTCAAGTTCTGCTGAAACAAAGGACAGGCGAGAAGCGCGATCAATAAAACGGGTGGAGACCACCGCTGCTCTGTTCAGGGAAGCGGCCAATTGCGATCGATCTTGCTAAAACTAGAAAAGAACACGTCAGCAGTGCGGGTTCGTGGCTCGGGCAAATCAGATAAGTGGAAGTGCACATGTCCTGTGAGGAGGGCATCTGCACTCTATTGTTTCCTTGGGTTCCTTGGGCTGCATTTCATTAGATTACCCATAAGCATGATACACAAGAGGCCTGTACGGTAACTGCTTCGTAATTTTATGGCGCTGTCAGTACCTGAACTATGAGTATACAGCGTGGAGTGGTAGGATGACTCATAAGAGGCCCTATACCGGCACTTGCCTGAAGGGACCGAGGAAACCCACGACAATCTCCAGTCAGGATAGCCAGTTACCCGGCCGAGTTTCGAACCGAGCACCTCCGGAATAAAAGTGAAGACCACTGCAACTACACCAGTCTGACCAGTCAATGGGTTTCCAGAATTTTCCCACGATGTTTCGGAAGCTGGATCTGCTTCCGTCCTCGGGTGGAAAGTTCAGCGTGTTAGAAAGAGCAAATATCAGTTACTGGACCTGGATCTAGCCGAGTACGTGCTTCTCGCCTTTCCACCTGTTGACGGAAACAGATCCAGCTTCCGAAACACTTGTCTGCTATTCAGAGTGGAGTACCATAAACGATGGAGCAAGCCCAGCAACCCAGTAATAAAGAACTTCCTAAGTGCTAAGATAACGTCAGACAACAAAGTTATGGTCACAACATAACACTACATAAATATGAAAATGAATGCTGACACCCTCATTCCGAATTTAGACACAGAAATTCTTCATCGTATTGTGTGCTGACATCTGGAGCCACAGTGGCGCTAATCTTTCGTTTTCTGAAATGTAACTTTTGTCAGCCGTAACGTGAGAAAATTAAGTTTTATTAGTGAATGAATTTTTACTCTTCCCGATGGAGGCGGGTTGCAATACCTCCACCGTTGCCCTGAGAGTCGTAGAAGGCCAAGAAAAGGAAACCCGGTGCCTGGGGATATAACTGGGCCCACCCTCTCACTTGGGGCTGGTTAGGGGCTGGACGCAGGACTGATGACCTTCCTCTGTAAACAAAATCGTTGCGAAATCCAAAGTAGTAAAAACCGGATGAAATTTGGCAAAATCTTCTACGGAAGGCAATGGCTCAAAAGGGGCCGTTTTTTACAATGATGATGATGATGATGAACGGTTATTCTCTTTGAATGACACCAGTATTTACAATTACGTAAGAACAGACAGGATCTTTATACGTTCGTACGCCATACATACAGAAAAATACAGGAAACCAAAAATTCTGTGGTTTCTGGTTTGTTAGCTGTTATTTTGCGGTCAGCGTGTGCGATTTATCCCGAAGCACTGTCTACCTGACGTCGAAAGAAGATGAATTTCTCTGTGCTAAGTAATCTTCCTTGCCTATTACTATTTGCCCACATTCGCAACTGCTCCCCCTTACATCGGTCATGAATGCAAGGGGCGCTGAAACGCGTAATGAAGATACACACGAACACACAGAGCAGCACAGACGTTACCATTTGACTGGACTTCAGGTTCTCACCAGCGCTCACTAGGAAGTACACTATCGAATGGGATGTGACATCATGTAGCCAATAAACGTTTACCGATGTTTCGGAAGGAAGTAATGTCGACATCTTCCGGGCCGAAGAGTAAGTCAAGCAAGCACCAGCAAGAAGCAGGCAGAACGATGTTTACTTCTTGAAGATGCTTGCTTAGCTTACTCTTCGAACCTGAAGATTGAGACAGCTAGTTCTTCCGAAACGTCGGTAAATTCTAATTGACTACAAGGCGTCACATCCAAGAAAATTGTTATGTTATCACTTCGGTTTAATTAATACTGGCACACCGAGTGGGTTGCAGCAGCGGTAAGACTCTAGACTCACATTCGCGACGTGCTTGGTTCGAATCTGGGCCTAGACACTGACTATCCCGACTGAGGCTTTCCGTGGTTATTCTCAGTTACACCAGGAAAGCTAATTCCGGGATATCATCCCGGTCAGGTCATGCTACCATCCGACGCTGTATCTTATAACTAAGCATCCTGTCTCATTAGTTGACTATTTTATATGCACGGCGGCACGCGGTAGAGTAGTTGGTTGAAGAACTAAGCTACAAGTCGGAAGGTCGCGGGTTCGATTCCCGATGAGGAAATCCTTCCAGCCGTACATGGCCCTGGGGTCGACTCCACCTCTAACAGAAATGAGTGCTAGGAATCTTCCTAGTGGTAAATGGCGGCCGGCGCGTGAGACTGATAATCTCACCGCCATCTGTGAGCCGATTGTCTAGAAAATTTGGAACCTCGACGCCCCACAGCCCTATGGGCCTCCACGGTCTGTTACAGAGATAGTTTTACCTTTGCCTTTGAATTTTCGTGAAAGCATGGACTAAGTGGTGATTCGGCGAACGATCTGAGAAGATGCACTGAAAACTATACCGCTACGTAGTCCGAACTGAAAGCACTGGCACTGCACAGAACATAGCAAATTACAAGTTACTTATGCGAACCCATTACAAACATCAAAGTTTCTGCGTGCGCCAAGGCTTTCCGAAGCACAGACACACGAGCACTACAGGAAACTCAGCAAATGTATTGCGGCGATAAGCCTCCCACGAACATTTCCGGTTTGAAAAATATAAATGGCTTCTAGTGTGGCGTGATAATTGTTAGGGCCAACCTAATTTCCATTTGTGAGTGTTAGGTTAGCCGAAAGGAGAAGCTACTTGCTGTCTTGAAGGGAGGCCTTACGAACGGGAAAAGAGTCAGGGTGTCGATATATTTATTTACAACACCAAAATATGTGCCAGTTGCTCAAAAATGTCAAAAGAAATTAACGTTTTCAGGTTTTCGTCTGTAACAGTCCTATTTAAGCAATAATACTTATTTCGCATACAATTATCGATCAGTAGGATCAACGGTTCGATTTCCGCTCGAGGCACAGATGTGCGAGACACACTGTTATAGAATTCTGAATGGAAACATGGCAGAGATGTTAAACATGAAGAACAGGAAACATAAATTATGTGGCCATCCGCCCCTCCGCTCACCTGAATCTCCTGTCATTTTGTGCTCCCAGTGAAATACAGGCGAACACCAACTTACGAACATAATGTGTTCTTTGAAATGTGTTTGCAAGTTGAATGTTCGTAAGTTGAACTTTTTCATAAAATATATCATTAAATATGTTAATGCTAATTTGCTAAAACGTTCTCAAGCGCGCGGTTCTGTGTTCGTTAAACGAATTTGTAATCGCAATTTACTAGTCCGTCCAATATTCGTAAATACGAATTGTTCGTTTCTTGAAAGCTCGTAAGTAGGTAGTTACTATAGGATTCTGACGATGGTGTATAACACACTGATATGTTGGGATTTTGGACTTTATCCATCGTCCTGGTTTTTAAGATAAATAAAAACACGACGTTTCGGAAACTGGATCTGTTTCCGTCCTCAGGTGAAGGAAAACACCTATTCAGTTGGGTCCCTTAGAAAGAGCTAGCCTCAATCACTGGACCCAACTGAATAGGTGTTTTCCTTCACCTGAGGACGGAAACAGATCCAGTTTCCGAAACGTCGTGTTTTTATTTGTTATCTTAAAAACCAGGACGATGGATAAAGTCCAAAATCCCAACATATCTCGTAAGTAGGGGTTGGCCTGGATCGCGTTAAACAACTTGATTGGACGCCGAGGGAGGGAGGGAGGGAGGGAGGGAGGGGGTCAGTTACCTGCCTTATGGGTTTTGGAGAACATTCAAACGAAACGAGAACGAAATATACAAAATACGAACACGGAAAATTTTAAATATTGTGTAAACGTAGCGTTGTTTGTATTTCAAAATGGGGACCCACGATTCTGGATCGATCAATACAAAAGTTCTTAAACGGCTTAAACTTAGTAGGATTTGAGGTTCCCACACCGGTGGTTATGAAGAGTTATATCTTCTGTGATATAACGCCGTGTAGTCCGTTGACAAGTCATCAAATGTTTCGGAGTAACATACCGCCTCCATCTTCAGGATCGAAGAATAAGCCGAGCAGGAAAGCATGAAAGCAGGTGGCAAGCAGAAGAACTCTGCGGACTACACGGCTTTGTATCCCAGAAGTTAAACTTAGGTTTGTAAGCAGATATTATTAAGACAGCTCCCCCGAAACTATCCTGGCTCACGTGTTCTCTCTCGTGCCGCAGGGCGATGCTGAGCGCTCTGATACTGCTCGTGTGCCTCATCTGCTACTGCTGTCACCGCGGCTCCAGCAAGAGCTCGCAGTACTGGCAGGCGCAGCCCGATGTCTTCACTGTCGACGAACAGGTGAGTTGCCTGGCAACGGAAGGATGCAAATGCACTGTTGCTGGCACATTACGAAACACACCAAACCCCCAGTCTAGGCAGCAAGTATACTAAGATCCATGCTCCAAAACAATCCGAAGGTTCCTGAATCGCAACATCTCGGTGGGAACGGATGTTATTTAAATACGCTACACATGTAAGCTCTTGCCAAAGTAACCCGTCAATGCAACGTATTCTCACCAAGTTCAGATTACAACACATTCCCCTTTAATATTATCATTCCATCTCCGTCTTAATGACATCGCGGGTGAGTACGTTCAGATCTCGGCTATCCTGACTCAGATATTCGGCGCTTTGTTGCAAATTCAGGGACAATATCAATTCCCAGGCCACGGATTCTTTCCTACACAAAAAGAGAAGGCTTCCTCACTCTGTGACCAGCCAAGTGCCGGGCCACAGATGAAACCCGAGGATGTGACAATGTGCTGCCTGTCAGAACCACTGCACACCTCGGGGGGGGGGGACAGATGAATATACAAGAACAATGATTAGCGGACGAAACCGCAGAAACTCTGATAAGAACCTGCCTCCTTCCATATCCTTTCCGATTAATTAATCACAGTCATCCCACTATTCGACGCGGTGAAGTCTGCTCTACTAACAGCAAGGATAAGTAGTAGCACACGTAGTACAGACAAGCAGCGGCACTCACACAAGAAGACTACATTAAATAACACCTATACAGTGTGAAAACAAGAACTAGCCGCTCCAGCACGTAGACATAGGGCGAGTAACCCTAAGAATTTTAAATTTTAAATTTAAAATTTGTAGAAAAATTTTAAAAGGTTTTAAAAACATCATAACTAAAGATTTTTAGAGTGCTACTACAAGAATATCGGGTGCGACGTGTGAAACATAATCTACATACCAGACACATATCAACGATGTAGATGTTGATAATACGAAGAAAGTGACATTGTGTTTTTAAATGTTAAGTTTTAGACTGGGTTCAGTGTGGCAGCGACGTTAAGAGTATACACCTGATGATGGCCGATAGAGGCCGAAACATGTAGTGTAGAAAGAACAAGATCAAAGACATATAAATATATATTGTTTGCACTTAGGACGGAGTTTGTATCATTTATCGTGTAGAGTGCAACAGGATGCTTAAATATAATATAATAAGGATAAGTAGATGCATAATATTAGGTTAGGTCATTCTCTGGTATTGTTGCAGTGCTCTGAGGCAGCGGGGGTGTTCCTGCCCCAGGAGTCCTGCTCCCCGACCGCCCCCAGTCCGCCTCCAGCGTACGACATGGTCATAGCGGGCAGACCCCAGGGAAAGGGCGAGGAAGAGGATGACAGCGGGCTGCCTAGCTACGCGGCGGCGCTTCGGCTGGGAGCCCAGGGTTACGTCTGAGCGCAGGACAAAAGCAGATACTGTTCTGTGCAAACATGTCGACAGGTGCAAGCAGCGTTGGTGGATGATGTTTACAGGTTGACGTTTAGAAAGACAGAGATGGAGACAGCAGATTTTCTTCATGACTGTAGCTTCTGTGGGAAACATTTAACACAATACGATGGAAGAAGTTTGCAGTGAGATGTGTATATTGTTAATTAGTTAGCGTTCTTCGGAACGAGTTTGTATTGGTATTTGCATCACCTTTCAACTGTTTTTAAAAAGGGCAATAATTTAGGGTATGTTACACGTGATTTTAATTGACACGGAGAGTTTTAAACGAGTCAAGAAGCAATCGAAACAAATGCAACAATTAAACATTTGAAATTGTGGTTCTGGGCGCATGCGTACAAACTAACGTAACCCGGGAAACATGGACTGCAATGACGCTCTTTCTTTGCTGCGTTAAGATCTCAAACATGTCTACTAGCTCCACAGGTTCCCCCTCCCCAAATTTGTCAACTGATTATCGCAAAATTCACCAAAATTTTGGGTCGCTACCGCCAGGCCCTTAGTTGTTATTATTATTATTAAAGGTAACGCTATCCCTGTTACAGGCCGTGAAGGCCCATAGGGGGGCTCCCACATTTTCTTTAGAAAATCGGTTCACAGCTGGCGGTAAGGTTGTCAGTCTTACGCGCCGTCCGCCCTTTACCCCAAGGAAAATTCCTGGTACTCATTTCTGTTAGAGACTGAGTCCACCGCAGGGCCATAAGGCGGCTGGAAGGATTAGGGAAATTATAAAAATAAAAAAAAAATCTCATCGGGACTCGAACCCGCGACCTTCTGGCTTGTAGCATAATGCCTCAACCATGCTACCGCGTGCCCCACCAAATACAAATATATATAAGAATGTAGGATATGAGGTTCTCACAGCGGTNGTGTGAGACGTCAAGGCTCTCACATTTTCTATACAATCGGCTCACAGATGGCGGTGAGGTTATCAGACTTACGCGCCGGCCTCCCTTTATCCCCAGGAAGATTCCTGGTACTCATTTCTGTTAGAGACTGAGTCGACCGCAGGGCCATAAGGCGGCTGGAAGGATTAGGGAAATTAAAAAAAAAAAAAAAAAATNATACAAGCTGCTTCATAAGTTGTTAGTTCATGGTCAGCTATACGGTGCTCAAAAAGTAATTCCCCACCGAAATGTTTACTCAACTCATACGAACAGCTGAATTCCCGCTACTGGTTCAAACTCAGAAATCTAACGAAAAAGACAGAGTTAAAGAAATAGAATTGCATAGAGATAAGAGAAAATCGGTGCCAGATACACTGTTACTGAGCCATACAATTCATGGCCAAAGTCACAAAAGCTTTTCCTGAGCTACTTCGCATCATCTAAATTTGTTCCCTTCCTGTCTACCCACTGCTCTCCTACTGTGAGGTTCTCTAGCCAATACTTCGTTTGAAGATCTCGACCTCCTTGATGTAATCGCCCGAACAGTGCCAACTGTAAAGCTGTTCGTAGTGAAATTTCCCCTTGCCCCTTAACCTTTCGTGTATGCTACCCACCCAGGTTGCACGGCTGCGGTATGCGTGGAACACAAGCAGTAGGTAAGCTTGGGGTCACCCAGTGACGTGTTCCCTGCATTCTGTCGCGCGTTCATGTGACAACAGATCGGAAGAGGAGACACTGCCGAAACGTCGGCTAAGACCGGTATGACTAACCGATACGGACGTCGGATGCGACACATGTCAGTTCCCATGAGACCCAGAGATAAATGATTATTATTCGAATTCAGGAAACCCTCGCTAATCCGGAATAAGTGGGGGGAGGTCATCCTAATTAAGCGATAATCCAGGTTAATGAAGCAAATTGTAGCCCTAAAACACTTGGAACACACATAAATAGAAATTTAATGGTATACTGTAAAGTAAAGCTATCCCTGTACCAAGGCGTGAAGGCCCATAGGATTGTGAGACGTTGAGGGTCCCACACTATCTAGAAAATCGGCTCAAAAAGGCGGGAAGGTAATTAAATAACAAAATATCAATGTAGATGGTTTATTTAAAAACCATAAAAAGACAATACATTTATTTATCCATAGAAGGCTCAGAAGTTGTACTCGCTTTTTCACGTAATAATGCAGGTTTGAAGAGCCGGATTAGCGAGGGTTCTCTGTGCTGGTTCCCGTCGCTACCACTGGACAGTACACTCGCGGCCTTGCAGTAGCCAACTGCACCCGCACATGCACGAACCTGACATGACTTCATTAGAACTGAAGACGAGTAGCCCGCGGCTGCAAATGAGCGAGGGAAACGGCGCGCCATTATCACGCTCACTCTCAATTCTTCTTGTTCTCAGATCCCAAACTGTGGTCCGCGTGCCTTAAGTGAACATGACACCACCACACCGCAACTGTAATCTAGTCATTTGACTGTGTTCGTACGTTCTAATGCTTTGCAAGCAACAAAGGCAGTCTTTATTTATGACAAATAATGTAAGGCCTTGTGAGTACCTGGCTTCCTGTAGCAAACACGAAGGCCTCTGTTATTGTGTTTATGCTTAACCGGACACGAATGTCACGAACTCACCAGTGATGAGTTTATTTAAATTAGTATTGTTGTAGTGCCATAACAAAGGCCTAATATAAACCATTGCTGGCCTGGATCTCAGACGGTGCTTCGACAGCGGGCACCTTCCTTGTGTGTTTCGTTTTCTTTAGGTAATGACTAAGATGAATACTTTCCTTGGAGTGTTGATCTGAACATTGTTGTTACAATACAGACTGCTATTATCTCAGGTAATTGTTGTCTCATTTTCCCGTCGTGACCTTGGATCCCGTAAGTTAAAACACTGACACCGAGCACAGCATGTCTGTACTTGAAACAAGAAGTTCTGGGAAGAACTACCATTTTCCCTTCGATACGACACGGACCGCATAGATTTTGACGCTTCCAGCAATTTTTCGTTGCTATGGTAAAGTCTTTACAGAATTGGTACCTACAGCAGCAACGATTGGGGGATACATAGGCTCACATACCCTTTTGATAAGATACGGACCGCACAGAAAATGCGTCCAACAATTTTCTATTGCAGCGTGTATTCGTTGCCGCGAGAACGTGTTTAACGAGCCGTTGCGTAGCACCGAATGGAGGGATATACTTAACCGAACCGCTGCCTTGCAACGATAGGAGGGATATACACACGCCGTTGTAGCATAAGATATGTAAGATAGGATGTGCTTTGCTCAGCCTCTACTGACAGAGGACTTGTATGCAGTATAAAGGGAAAAATTTTCAATAATATACTAAATGAGCGACACGTATACTTGACGAAAGACCAAGCGTATTCATAAAAGACAAACACATCTTCTCGTCAGAGATGATGTTACATAAGGAATATGACGCAAGGGTTCAGTTGAAAAAAATCTCTGGTCGTGATCAAGGGTTTGGCGCCAAAATGAACCGTTTGACGGTAAACCGTCAGTTGTAAAGTAGCTTTGACTTTGACTGACGATCTATTCAGTGGAAGAGGAACAAGAAGAAGTAGGCCTAACACAGACTTGTATAAATTGAAGGTTCTTACGCAGGTAAAGACATGTGGTAGCGGGTCTGGAAGCGGCTCCGATCTAGAAAACCGAAATTAACGGCAGTGGGGATTCGTAGCGCTGACCACGCGACACCCTCTATCCGCAAAAGTTGGAACTAACTTCGCCGACAAGCGGCAGTCGCTCGGTCGGTATAGTTCGCTTGCGGACTAAAGCCACGGAGTTTGATTTTGTTCCGTTTGAAGAGTCATATTGTGGTCGTCTGGATTATGACGCTGTATAGTCTGTTACGAACCTGTCGAAGGAACATAGTGCCTCCATCTTCAGGCCAGATCCAAAGACATAAATCCGTGAGACATTCGCCTGCCGCACGTGCAGCCCCAGGCCGCGTACCGCGTGGTACGCATAGCAGCCGCTCTGTGACCTCTCTGTCTGACACTCACAACAATGGCATCAACCCGGGCAAACAGTTGAGTGGAAGGCGGTTCTTAAAGAAGTATGGTGTGGACTGAATTTACCTGGCTTAGAAGGAATTTGTAATGTGCTGTTGAGAACCTCTGCGTTCCCTAAGAGGAAGGGAATTTCCTGAATAGCTGAGTAACTATCAGCTTCTCAACAATGCCTCATTCTCCACGGCTTGAGACCGCCATTCTGCACATCAGCTATGTGAGAAAAGAGAGCCGACAAGAGGAACCAACAAGACAGACAAACTTAAGAATATGGTCTTTAGGGATGTGACGTCGTGTAGTCTGGCTGATAGGTAGTAACATTTCTAAGCAACATACCGCCTCCATACACAACTACCTTGAAGATGGACTCAGTAGGCTGCTACGACACATCTGCACCTACGTACCAAACTGGACAGTGTCACATCCCAAATACTGTATCAGCACCTGCGGCCGCAAGAAACTCAAACCCCAAGACAGACAAATAAACGAATGTACCGCACAGAGATCAAACCTGGAGGCTCCTAATTATGTACGTAATTATCTCCATTGTCGTCGCACTTGGGTTTCTGAGCTGTACTTGTGGACTCCGCAACACGACTGCTTATGTATCTATGCCATTTTGATGAAGATCGCTACATCATTAGGTTACTAACTTCACAGGACTTCTTTTCCGTAAGGTTGTCAGTTCAAGGTGTTTCATGTCATCATAGATGTTTTAGACAAAGAATACAAAGGAACAACATATCTCTTCATGGAATGTGCTGGGTTTTGTACTAGACTGAAACATTTTAGGCGCGTTTTTGGAAGAAATGTAACAAATCAGTACATCATGTAGTCGTGGCAGTTGGCAACAGCTCGATAGATGGCAGACTAATGAAGTTGCATGAATGTTCGATACATATCGATACTTCTGAACAACGATACGGTGGCGACGTGCTCAATTTCCTACGTTGCCAAGTACAAAATAAATAAGAATATAATGAAAAATAACTAACAAGCTAATTAGACAAAAAACGTATAAATAATTCGATTAATCTCGAACAATGCTCGGAGTTTTCATAAGGGATTTCTGAATACAGGATAAACACGATAAGAAAAGTGAATACCTAATGTGTACGATTCGCGATAAACCTGTATCATCTGGCCAGACAATTGGCCGTCATCCGTCGGTAACGTGAACTGCTCTTCGGAGGAGCCCAATTCGAATCTCGGACAGATTATCGTTTATTCCGACCGAGGTCACGTAACACACTCTTGCACGTAAATCTCGCCAGGCTAACTTAGCAGGCCAAGGTCATACTACGTAACAAGTTAGAACCATCGAGCGCAACGCCGTAATATGGACAATTTGTCCCACAATCGCCATTTTAGTGTTGCTCTTGACGTCAGTGTAGTGCATTCGACCCATTTGCATGTTTCAGAAGGCTGGGGGTAAGCCACGTGATTCGGCATTACAACGTGGAGTGCATCATAAATACTTTCGTATAAACGAATTCAAGTGAGAGTGAATTTGGAATTGCAGTCTACCTGCGGGTAAGGTATGGTGGGGTACGTCCATGTCTGTCTATCTATCTGCCTATGGCTCTACAGCCCTCTGTTGGACCTTGGCCGCATTTCAGTTTCTTGATCTTTTTACACAGTCGGTAGGACTCATTGGACGGTGGATCACCCGGTCGCAAGGCCGCTACCTACACACAGGACGGCAAAAACATAGAATAAACGTACAGACATTCATACCGCAAGAGGGATCGGAACCCACGATCCCAGTGTTTCAGCGAGCGAGACAGTTCATGCCTTAGGCTGCTCCGCCATTGTGAGATACTTCAGAACCGACCAACCATGAAACTAATTCACTGTGCTTAAATACGATTCGAATTAAGCAAAGGCCGGCAAAGACTCTGGCAACAAAACATCATGGCTACCGCTACCCTGGTAGAAGCCTGCGTCCTGTTCTGAACTGCGCACGCACGCACGTTCGCCTTCTTATGCCCAAACATTTTGCTAAGGACCTAAGGACTTACAGACACTTCTGAGGTTTTCTTCGCTGTGATTTGAAGCGCAATGCCTTCTGGGCTATATCGCCGTGCAGTTCGGACAGATTCCGACGTTCTGGAGGACGATATCGCCTCCATCTTCAGGGTCGAAAAGTAAACCATGCAAGAAACCAGCAGAAGCAAGCAGCATACCAAGAACAACGTATCCTCTACTGTAAACGTCTGTTCTTTTTCTGAAACGTCGGGTTAGCTAAGTTTCTGGCCGAACACATACCCAGGGCGACAGCATTATGACTTTCTTCTGTTCATGCAAACATGTGGCATCTTCCGCTTTTAGGGCAGTGAAGATTAGTACTATATACTTTTGAGTTTTGTTACTGTGTTGCAGTCTGATAAGTGGGCACCATACGTTTCAGAGGACTGACTCCTTCTTCAGGGTATATGGCGCTTTTTCTCGGAAACGTTCATATCCATCTGTTGGGCTACAGAACAGTGTCATAACCCGGGTATATGCGATATGCATCCCTTCAATTCATTTCGTTACGTTTAGAATGGGCCATGCCATAGCTCAGGTGGGTAGTGGCCGGGGCCCTTGTTCAGCCCTAGGTCAGTCTATCTGGGCTCTATGATGGACACAGAGACAGTGGCGCAGGCTCTTCTCAGACTGCATCACAATCCCTCCAGTGCTCCAGTCTCACGCGACTGGTAGACATCTCAGGTGTACGCAATTACTGTAGTAGGCAACCTTACGGAAGAAAGGTCGACGTGTTTCAACTTCTCCGGCACGCAGATTGTGGGTCGAAAATAGAATTAGGAATTTTCTAATGGTGATCCAGCGTGTTTCAACATCTCCGGTACGCAGATTGTGGTTCGAAAATAGAATTAGGAATTTTCTAATGGTGACCCAGCGTGCTTCAACATCTCCGGTACGCAGATTGTGGTTCGAAAATAGAATTAGGAATTTTCTAATGGTGATCCAGCGTGTTTCAACTTCTCCGGCACGCAGATTGTGGTTCGAAAATAGAATTAGGAATTTTCTAATGGTGATCCAGCGTGTTTCAACATCTCCGGTACGCAGATTGTGGTTCGAAAATAGAATTAGGAATTTTCTAATGGTGATCCAGCGTGTTTCAACTTCTCCGGCACGCAGATTGTGGTTCGAAAATAGAATTAGGAATTTTCTAATGGTGATCCAGCGTGTTTCAACATCTCCGGTACGCAGATTGTGGTTCGAAAATAGAATTAGGAATTTTCTAATGGTGACCCAGCGTGCTTCAACATCTCCGGTACGCAGATTGTGGTTCGAAAATAGAATTAGGAATTTTCTAACGGTGACCCAGCGATTTACTTCACTGTCCGATGATATTTAGTCGCAGTTCAGAACAGGCCCACTTGCGGCCGAGGTGACTGAAATGAAAATGAACAAAACATTCTAGAATAGGCTACAGCTGAATACGGCGATGATTATATCGCAGTGTAAAGGTTACACTGCTCGGTAAACAGCAACTTGAATGTGATAACCCAGATATGCCGAGGCACGCGACGACAACAAAACACGACGATAAACGCACGTATTTCAGCGCTTTCTGGCCGGAAGTGACGAAGGAAAAGAGCACTTCTAACACTGAATCCAGGAGTCCGGTGTGCAGTGCTGCCAGCTGGCGGCCATTTCCCCTTTACTTCGTATGAGGCTTAAACAGACTGTTTGTTCTATATCTCCATTTTTATCAGTATCATTTGAACGCTTCTCTTCTTCTAACAAGTTTGCGTCACTTTCGAAAGACAAACAGTGGACCGAGATAATTATAAATACTCATAACAGCAGCTTAAAGTTATCTTGATGACCCATTGCCTCTTTTCAGTCTATGTTCGTAACCTGGGGTTATGAAGTCAGTACCATTTTATGTCAATTGTATTTGTGTAATACCCATTGTTAATCCGCCATTTGTTACGTACGCTTTCGTAAAATAACTTATCCAACAATAATCCAGCAAAAATCGAGGCCGACGTTTAACGCCNGCACCTGTGGCCTGAGTCGCCACGTTGCTGCTGGGTAGGGAGGGGGTCTCCGTTCCGCAACATGTTACAATATATACGATTATTGTAACGTGTTTGGAATAGACATTTCCATGGTAACGCCATAACAGTAAGCCGTTGCGTAGAGAACTCCAAATCTCCACGGAGATGAACAACCGAAGACTCGCTGCGTAGCAGCAGACTGTCGATAGAGTAGCAACGGAACCGTAAGAAATGATGTTTGGTATCCAGTCCGCAGAACACCTACATAAGCCGAGAGCTACAGACAGCAAGACAGACAGACTTTGACTTGACAGCAAGAATACAGTCGGAACCTAGTCGCCATACCATACAGACAGAAGACAGCAAGAAGTCAGTATTGGGATAGCCGTCGCCGAAGACAGTTGAGATCCAGCCACGGCCAAAGATAGTTGAGACCTCGCATTGGAGTATTGGCCCAGAAGTCAAGTTACACTGCAACGACAATAATTGTAAGGTGTGTAAGTGTGAGTGTCCAATAAAGATTCGCTAAATCCGAGACCCACGTAAAGTTATTTGTCGCGTGACACACCCAACA